TTAAATTCAACACAACCAAAAAATATTATAATTCTATATATTTTTGTATGTCAAAATATTTCTGTGTGTATTTGAATGGCTAACGGATTCAATGTCTAGAATTTAACTTACTTTTATTATCCTAAAGATTAGATTTTAAGTTTATCAATTTTTTTTGTAACGTCGGCGACGTTACATATAATTAAAAATAATTTAGTATAGATTGAAAAAAAATTACTATACGGACAGGACTTGAACCTGCACCCATGGTGTTCCGTGCTGTTGCTCTAACCAATTGCGCTACAGCTATCCTATAGGTCATCGTCGAATTTTTTCAACCTATTGATACATAAATCTCTCGCGATAAAAAAGCAAAAGCAATGAACAAGTAATTTTCAAGCGCATCTCTCGTCTGCTAGCGGTTGGCGAATACCAGGGGCGCAGACGTGGTGAGGAGTAGCTCTATCGGAGCATGTAATGGACGGCAGCTTCCGCGAGGGAGCGCCGCCATTGTCTAAACGCCCGCACTCGTGCGTGACTATCAACAGCAAGCTGCTCGCTGTTTCTGCTTACTAAATACCATTCAATTCAAGCCAAGAAATACCTGATCCCTAGAAATAATCCTAATACTAAACCTATATTCAATGTAGGTACATACGACAGAAATTGAGATATTTTTATTACACCTCAAAGAACAATTTATAGAATGAATGAAAGTACTAATCAGTAAGATCCTTGCTTACAAGATTTTTTTTATCTAATAGGATAACAGGCAAGCGAAGCACATGATGAGATTTAATTTTCGCCGCCTACGTACTTTTACAACACTCTAGGGTCTAGAAATCCTAAAGACGCGTTGCCAGCCTTTTACAAAAGTTTCCCATTATGAAGAATCGGATAACAAATGAAGAAATGCTCCCGATTTCGTAAAGAACGTATACGTATATTCATCACTATGTCATTATGTTTATTTTCCGGAAATCTAAAATAAAAATGGCGCAGGCTTTTCAATGTGTTTAGTTAAAACAGAAGGACAAAAATAACTATGGTATAAATCTATAATTTATACCCATACACTTTGGTTTTAACTTTTTAAATAGAATTTTTGATATTTACTTGAAAACAGAGAACATTATCACTCTTATTACAAAACGAAAACTAACTCGCAAACCTGGTTTAAATCTTAGTTTACTTGAAATCCTTATTACAAAACGAATGTTTAACGTTTTTACGGCACTAACTACGGTACTTACTACCTTAGAACATGATTTAAGAGTTAAATCAAGACTCCACAGTCCTGGTTTAAGTTTTTTTTTTGTAATAAGGCCGTATTAGTTTAAGAACCACTCGTAAAATGCGTCATCGAGCCAGGAACAAAGCTTGGCTGGCTTCACCACAATATAAGCTGCACCAAGGATATCTGGTTACGCTCCTAGCATATTTAAGCCCCACAAATCTTGTTAAAGGAGTGAACTGGTATAGAAAGTGCATCCTTGTGTTATGAAGGATTTGTATAATTAAATTTAAATCGATTTCTTAAGTTATATAATATATATATGACTAACAAACAGCTATAAAATAATATCATATATAAAAGCTCGTAAAAAATGTATTCCATAATATTTGCAATAATAATACAAGTTAGGCTTATTTACTGAAATTACATTAAACCTTTAACAATACAATAACAATTCTATACACATAAATGCTATCAATTATTAAATAAAGATTGTATGCCTGTTTATTTAAGAAAACCTGTTAAGACAATATTGACGGATCTTAATAATTGTACGTTCTATATAGCTAACATCATAAATTGTCTTTTTTAAGTAAGATATCTACTTCTTTAAGTATAAACTTTTAAAAAGTATAAATGCCATGGCAGAATCATTTAAAGCAGCAGTAAGGCAAATATTGACGTACCGTTTTTTACTACATAAGATAAATATAAAACAATGAATTAGTTAGGTTATATATGTACAATGAAACCTAAATTACCTTAACACAGATACAAAGCAACGCTAATTTTGCCCAACCAAAGGATGCAATTCAATTGTTCCACTTCCTTTTACAATACAAAGTGCGAGTCAAATTATCAAAGACAACGACATCGGTCCAGACACTGGTTTCGTAACACCATTACAGTGTTCGAGCATTGAATATAAACACGTAGAAACTTAGACAGCTCGGCCTAGGCAGTAGGCAGTAGGAAATCCATGTAGAGTACAAAATAATGTACTAGGAACACTAATGAAGCCTAAACCTAGACAATACTACATAACTTGCTCTTAGGTGAGAGTTACAATATGGTTACGTAAAGCATAATGAATATATCCAGCTATAGACTCGTCACCGGCTTCATCTCTTCACTTAAAAAGAGTTCATAGGAAATATGCTGAAGTTTGACGTTTCATACAAATTCTATAAAGATCTAGTCGTTGTAGAATTTGTGGCAGAGCGGTATATATATATTGGTTGAAACATCATTAAATGAAGTAATGTCTATAGTTAACGCGAGTACATAGTTAAACACAATAGTTTTAACTGTTTAAAACGCGAAATCTACCTATTAATTAGCTAGGCGAAGTTTTGTGACCACGACTGCAATAAATTGTAAATACGTTTCACGTATTAAACCGACAATAATGTTTTGTTTAAACGAATTAAAGTTGTTGAAAATTGATGTGTGATTGATTGATTTAAAATTTGTTGCTATTTCACTCTTAAAGGGCTACATTTGACTTGTCAATCAAAATTGACCTTAGCAATATTTGTCATAGCTGATAAAAACAGGTTTTTATGAAGATGTTTTTGGGATATTTAAAAATGTTGAGCTTAATTTCACGAAATGTAACAATAAAAACATTCATTTTTCGGACATTATACGAGCAATCGAATTAACGACACCCACCTTCTGATGATGCCGTCCGCTCGTGATAGCGAATCATCGAGAACCTCTTCTCGTTCACGTCGTCCGAACAGCCCGAAAAACGTTGATGTCCTGAACAATGGCCGCGAAAGCCTTACACAATTTAATAAAAACATTTGTTTCACCGATTGGTAAGCAATAATAGTATGGTCAGTTTGACCGCACTCGTATTAGTAAACAGCTAAAAAAGCTAAGCGTATTAATTAGGATAATGCGACATAAAACAGTCGTGTAGTTCTAACATTTAACAATGTTGCCTTAATTGGTAGAAGCACTGCCGCCTACAGTTTGTGTGAGGATAAATCTACCACAGCCTACACATTCAATTAGAAACAACATCATATTAAAACATTTACATTCCCTAGCGCCGACTAACATTCAATACAGTGCAGTAATAAAACGCAATTAGCATATTATATATATATATATATATACCACCTAGAATATATATAGACGTATGTTCTTACCTTCGTAAGAGCTTATAGTTTTTAAAAATAATAGCCAGACGTAAAAAAGTATTAAGGTGAAGTTATTCTATTTAAATAAAAGCTTTTTGTATATTAAGGTGGTATGTATTATTAAATTTTGGCCTAAGGTGGTATGTATTATTAAGACCTTGTGTGAAATGAAAATTTTGTGTTTTTTTTTCTAAAATACACACAAATTCAGTTATGAACCCGCGTTGCAGCTTCACTCTAATTGGCTCCTGTTTTAAAAGTTTCCTACTAAGTAATTTTTTTCATTTTTTTTTTATTTTTTTTTAAATCTTAGTTATTTAACCATGAATATCTGGTGGTTTTAAGTAGTTCGCAATTACTTAGAATTATAACGTACTTTGTGATGGAACTCTTCGAATCCTCCGGCAGCCCGACGAATATCAATGTAGATGACATCTGGCTTTAAATAAAACACTGAATAACCACGAAAATTTAGACGGAATTAAAATCGTCTCCGGTAAAACGAAAACGGGCTAAATGACTGAGTCAAAATTAGACAGCTGGGAAATTGAAAAGAAAAACAACGTGCCAGCTTTATGAGGATCTAATGCGAACTGTCTCCTTCAATATTTTAATGTTTATGAGTAGGATAAGGTGGGCGAAATGTAGGCGTTGCAGTTGACCTCGGTATTAATATTATAATTGATGCATTCTCGATCTAATTCTGTTTACAGTACTGCCTTATTAGTCTAACGACATTCGACAGCCGGATCGGTCAATTTCTCATATATCAAATTTGAGCCATTATATATATATACAATACAGTCTTAAACATAGAAATTAGTGTATGTTGAATTATTATCCTTTTGTATAGCTTACTTGTTTTGTCTGTACCTATATCACTTTAGTACCAAAAACTGCTAAACATCAAAATACTTTTACAAATGAAAAAAGCTATCGTATATAAAGTTTACAGAAACATATTCTTTCCCCTCGTTTTTTTCACTATTTATCTAGAGTTTTGTTAAAATAACATACACCTGACAAGACACGCCTGCTGAAATAAAATAGCAACAAATTTAAATATATAATTAATATTGAATAAAAAATTACTTTATACGTAAATATACGTTTATCTTTTCGTAGTTACTCTCTGAGCATTGTTATTTTATTAATGAAATCTGATAAACTTTTTATCAGATTTATATTTGATTCACAGGTGTCTTAATATTTTTGTTGGATTATATTGTAGTATAAAACTTTTCATTTTGTACTTATTTTAATGATTAATAACTTAACATCATAATCGGTGAACCACTTCTAAACTGTTTTATATTAATCGAAAAATTAATTAAAAACTTCTTTTCATTGAATACCTAATGATTTCCTAATCAACATAATTAAAAACTGCTAGTTCCCTCTATTGGTGCAACTTTTTAACTAAACGGTGCAAGACACAGACTATGCAACAGTGTCCGGACGGTAAAACAGACTACAAAATAAAGTGGGCAACACTCGATTTGACGACTGACGTAACGTCCATTTGATTATTGAAAGCTTCAAAGACGTCTAGTTGTTATTCGTTTGAAAAATAAAATATAATTTTCTGGTTCTTTGTGTGTTAAATAAATAAAAAGTGTGCTAATGGTTTAACCATGTTGAATCAGACATCTACAGAAGCGTTGCTCTCGGCAGCATACGTTGAGAATTACTTGGATATCGTCGATAATCTTCCAAATGACTTGCAACGACATTTATCGCGTATGCGAGAGCTAGATGTAACTTACAGAGGTAAAACTAGTGTTGAAACACGTATTTCTAAATAGACTAAGCTTACTTTATGACCTAATAATTATAAGGCATCTTTTAAATACCTTGCGTTATAGTTTACATGTTATGTTGACACGGTATTTCACCAGTAGCTATAGACGCGTGCTTTGCTGTATAGCGTCTTACTCTAGAAAGCCATGGACGAAAATAACTATTTTGCTATTTTTATGCTCGTTCTTTCGAATACTTCCCTAGAAGGCTCTTTGTGTTTACACAATTTTAGATTTCCTATAGTATTTTAGCATACAAGTGATAAATATGCCAATTAGATGTAAATTTGTGCTCCATCTTTGCAGAGTGTCTAAGAGATGCAGAAGCACACTTAGCACTATGCCTCAGCCCGAATACGGAAGAAAGAAGGAGAGGTAGAGCAGCCCTACGGTTACAAACAGCTTTAGTAGCAGCTCAAGAAATAGGAGATGAAAAATTACAAGTTGTACAGATTCTGCAGGACCTCATTGACAATAAACAGCGGTGTTTAGATGCTGATCACAAAAAACTTGGTATTTTAATTTAATATTCTTTAAATATTATACTATGTACAATAACACAACATCTTAATTAATCTGTAGAAAAAGCCACATAATATAATTCAAATGTATTTTTGATGATAAATGCTTGAATTATATTTATACATTAACTTTTGTGTCTAAAAAAGAAAAGTACCAAGATTAAACTAGGAAGTATTCATAGTTTATAATATTTTACAGTGTCATGTCTAGAAGTTAACACTAATGGTACAACAAAAGAAGAACAAACACAGAATTCTGAAAATAGATCAAATGAAAAGGAAACCAGTTTGCAGCAAATGCAGCAACAGGCTGCACCTCCACCACCACCTGAAAGGAATACTGAAAAGGAGAAAGAAAAAACAGAGAAAGATAAAAGTGGAGGTAAGTTTAGTTATTCCCATTTAAAACGTTGGCTGCTTAAGCTAACACTTCATTTTATTGATAGAGATTAATTTACAGGCAACTTTTTGGTAAGATTTGTATCCTCAGCTATACCAAAACTATGTTGTCTTTGGTATCAACATCTTGCTTTTACAGAAAATATGAGCATTTCAATCCATGGAGGTTGTGAAATTGAAAATAAATAAATGTATTACATATTTATTCTTTATGCATCATGTAATTAAGAATACTATAGGTTTATGTTAATATATTTGGTCCCTTAGGTGAACGGTGGTCAAAACGCGCGCGTCGTTCAAGAACTACAGCCGGAGCAGCAACGGATGGTGCGGATTCCAGTGAGAGAGATAGTGAAAGACACACACATAACACTCATAAGAAAGGTATTTTCTTTTGTTAATTAATTACTTTTTTTATTACCATACTTAATTTAATATTAACATGAGCTACTGATTAACTAAACACCCTTGCAAATTAAAAATAATTTAATCTTTTTATGCCTTTGCATTTCCAGATAAATGGAAACCCTTACAAACTTAATTAACTATTTTTTTGTCACCACTGCAGGTATAGGCAAAAAGAAGAAACGCAAAGCACGCCAAGCAGCGCAACGTTCAGAAACTCCAGCAGAAGAAACGGATGCAATTGATCCTGACGAGCCACGCTACTGTCTCTGTGACCAGATCTCATTTGGTGAGATGATTCTATGTGACAATGACCTTTGCCCTATCGAATGGTTCCACTTCTCGTGTGTTTCGCTCACGACCAAGCCCAAGGGTAAATGGTTTTGCCCAAAGTGTAGAGGGGACCGGCCAAATGTGATGAAGCCCAAGGGGCAGTTCCTTAAGGAATTAGAGAGGTATAACCGGGAAAAGGAGGAGAAAGCATAGCGCTTGTTGTCCAGGAAGCGAGGTTGTGATTAATGATTGAGTTGATGTATGTTTTCAAGTACATAATATATTTTAAACTGAACGTCAGTGTTTATATTTCATTGGAATATCATAGCAGTACCTGAAAATAAATATTTCACAAACTAACCCTTACAAGGACCAATGCATTGAGTTTGCAGTATAGTAGAAAGTTATCTCTGTCAAACACTACTATGACATTTGCTTTGTAAATATAAATAATATAGTAATGTTGTTTCCCCTATGTGGGGCACAGGGCAAACATTCTGTTACACAGATGACTCTTACGTTATAAATTTAAATGCCCTCTCAAACAGGGAATCAAGTTCTTTAATAACGTGCAATATTTATTGTATAGGTACTGTATAGATATTAAATTCATTGTTTTTGTAAAAATATAACGAGTATAGGGCAATTAATGTCCTCATAAGCTTCATAAACAGAAATAAACATGAAAATCATTCCTAACTGTACCTGAATCTTCAGAATCTAAATAGTTGGGCCACCTCTTATGTTGCTAAAGTAAATTTTTAGTTTGACCTCTAAGTTTGTCATAATAATTATATACTATTTATTAATAAAAAGCTCAATTTGCATAATTGATTTCATTTAGTTAACTATGACGCACAATATTTTTTGTTTTCGTGATCACCTTATTGAAAGAACGATGGTCTTCGACTAAGAATCTTGTTCATGCATTTTATTGTTTACTCCCGCAGGCTGAATCTTGAAATAAGATCAATTATATTGTCTATAGTTTACGCGAGTAGTACACATTTAAATAAACCACTGGTTTACAACGCGATATATTAGTTAAACTTAAACTTAAAAGTGTTTTATTAAAAAGATCAATTATTCTTTATTTAAATTTAATTTGAAATATAATGGAAATTTTAGATTCTATGAATTTTAATTGTTTAACTAAAAAGTGTCCCTGCCTTGTATTGGAAAAATATATTTGTATTCAACTCTTCCGCGTTACTGGTATACTTTAAAGCAATATATAAAAAACATAGTTCAAGCACAGCTGTAAATAAATGTGTGATAAATTATAAGAATCTCTTTGCGGAGATTAAAAATTGTATAAAGTGCTCTTTGGACTTTAATATTTGCTCTGTCAGTGAAGTACATGTAAGTGCATTTATAAGTAGCTCTGTGCTATGAAAATCTATGATACTTATGTTCATTCGAGAGAATAAGGATAAGAAGAATTGTATAGAATAGAATATTTCTTTTACAATTGTAATAGTAAACAGATTAATTATGTCAATATAATGTTTAATTTACATGCGCCTTTCATTTAAAAATACTATTGGCCTGGTGAATTCCCACGTTATTTAGATGCAGATATATTTCTGTGTCTATTTCACAAATACTTTCAATTTAGTACCAACGAGATTAAGCACCTTCGTATTTTCCAGACATCACCCCCATAATGCAATATTTCGGCTATTTTTTAAACATAGTAGAGACGTAAGAAACATGTTCATACAATAAATTGTGTAAGGCTTTCACGGCTATCGTTCAGCATATCATTGTCTTTCGGGCTGTTCGGCCGATGTGAGCGAGAAGTGGTTCTCGACGTTTCTTTAATTAATTCTTCGAGGTATCGAGGAGTTAACATCTCCTGATGATGCCGTCCACACGTGATGGTGAAACGTGGAGAACCTCTTCTCGCTCACATCGGCCGAACAGCCCGCAAGACTATGATATGTGTTCATACAATTTATACTCTTTTTTTCTAATACTGAAATCTATAAAATTATTAACCCTTTGATATACAATACATGCTATATAGTAATCAGAACGAGCGTTATATATCATCTGGCTATTTAAGTTTTATCCTGGCTTACTCAGCTACTGTATATAAATGGTAGTTAAAAAAAAGTAATGCATCCTCTAGAATTTAATTTTTCTTTAATGAATATACAATAATTTCAACTATAAGTGATCATGCAAATACTATACAAGATTACATAAAATTTATTAAAACCTTACACATTTTTATATAAACTTCAGAGTATATATTTAATTAATTATTGATAAGTCGCCAATGTTTAAAATTGATAAAATATTGCAATGGCTCATATTTTCGACTAGATAATTATTATATTTGCTTACATATTGCAGGATTTCAGAAATTCATTAAATGGATTGTTATTTGTTTGAGATAATAAATTACATAACTCATCTCAACTCATATTAATCTAAAATATTAATGGCACATTGCACAACGCAAGGCATGAAGGGAGAATGCGAAACAAATGGCAACACAAATATTCTGTAGTCTGTGGTTAGCTGCCACGATGGCAAACTTAATTAATTACATTAATAAGTGAAAAAAAAAATATTTAAGACCTGTGTTCGTTTCGCTTCACATTTCTCTATAATATAATAATATAACTAAAATCACACGGATTAGATATTATTTGCACCAAGGAAACTCACAAAAATATTGAATATAAGGTAGGATAAATTAGGATATCTGAGCAAACTCATTTAAATGCTGCTACGTAAAAAGCAACGATTAAAACACTTAGCATAAATGTTTGTTCGTAATAGGCAAGAACTAATACTTCAATAAAATGCTTTAAGTACAAAACACGTATAACAACGCAGAAACGTAAAGTGCAGTAAATAATTTACTGCACTCTACGTTTAAATTAATCTCACATCAAGGTAAACAACGATAACTCCCGCCTTTTTCTGCGCTATTTTACTTCAACTAAAATATTTGTGACGCTATTCTATGACACAAATTGAACACATAGCTACATAATATTACACTTAAAACATCAATCGTTTCATATATTTACAAGAGCTACACCATATCTCCTAATAGTAGAATAAAATCGTTCTAGGAGGAATTATATTGTGAATACAATGGATTGTCTTAAAAATTTTGTACGTAATGTTCCTAATATCTGATAATAAATTATCTAACAGCTATTCTCATTAATGACGCATTAAACCCAGACGCCGTGTGGATTCTTATTGGTGGGGGCGGCGTTTTCCAACTGCCGAGGCGATCCTATGATACGGCGAGCGCTGCCCGATTTGCACATGCCTATAAATTATTATTAGTAGAGTAGATTATGAGAGTAGAGCAGTATGATTCTGACAAATTCTTTTTTTATATATCAATTGATACTGTGTTAGGTAAATATATTTAATTTTATATTTACATACACCTACCGTCTAAAGGATGCCGCAGCTCATCTACGCTGCCTGTAAGACTCTGCAAATTTGCTTCTTTCATCTGCTGAACGAGCCGCTCCACTTGTCGTTTTTTCTCCATTATAGCTGTCTCTAATACGCCCACCTTACAACGAAAAACAAATGTAAAATCAAATATCCAGACAACCAAATCTGGATTCAAATCCTGGAAATTGGAAACTTAAAAATGTAAACAGCGCCTGAAAACCTTTTAATTCAGCTCATAAAATGATTCTTATACAGAGAAGTGAAGCTTTTAATAGTAATAGCATATGTTTTAGCAAACCTCTCGCTTTAGGTTTTCAGCAGTTAGGTGATTAATCTCTGTAGCGTGCTTTGCTTGTTGTATCTGTGTTTGTAAATTTTCCACTTCTGCTAACATTGTTCTCTCTAATGCTTGCCTGTAAATAATTATCAATGGCAACTATTACAAGATATTATGAATAGTCTGTCGGACTGAATGTACGGAAGTAGTACACATTTAAATAAAACTTGTTTTGCAGCAGCCGTGATCCGAGTCTCCCCGTGACCACGGCACAAAGGCATCCAAAACGTCCACAGGTAGTTGATAAGTCAGTTAATATATGTCGTGTTAAAGTAAAAATCGATTTAAAGTTACAAAGAAAATTACAACACGGGTAGGACTTAAGCTAACATCCACAGCGCGCCGTGCTGTTACGCTAAGCAATTGAGCTTTTTTCAATCTAAAATTGATTTTTACTTAATATAATGCCATCATGTGCAATATAACGTGCTTTAAACTATGAAAAGTCTTAATTTAAGTAAAAACATCAAACATCGTAAATCAACTATATGTCATGGTTATAGGATAATTTTACCCCAGCACTTACCTATTCTCTTGCTGACGACTATTCATAAGTCGCTGTTCATTATGTATATCCTCCATCAGCTTACGTATTTTATTTTTACACTGCAACAACTCCGTCTCACAATTCGCCAACTTAGATCTCACCAGTACTATCTCCGATTTTAATGTTTTCTCATTTTGTTTCACTATTTCACTCTCTTCTTCAACATAGTTTAGTGCTTGCACCTGGTGGACATAAAATCAGCCATTACACTTGCCTAATACGAAACATATTTAATTTCGGCTATGTTGGGTGTCTTCTATTATGGATGGGACCGAAATGTCTGTCTCTGTGAAAATCTATAGAAGTCAGTCACTTTCCAATTTTATTAAATGCCTGTTCTTATCATTGGACAAAAATAGAAAGTTCATCAGTTTTCACCATTCTTCATCTTCTTCATTCACATTGCCCTTAGTATTACATTTATTACATAAAAAGGCTAGAATGATATACCTAGGATCTTGCATTAGAAATACCTGTTCAGTACTAATCCTTAATTGATTGTCAGCAGAATTGATTTGTTGCTGTAAGAGCTCCACTTGCCGTTCCTGTTCTCGACCTTTGTTTTCCCAGTAACCTATCTCAGCATCATACTAAAAATAGGATAAAATATTATGCGTATTTAATAAACGCCCAAATCGCTATTTTTTGTTTCAATATGATTCAACTGTAAAAAGATAAAAATCTTCTATCTAGGGCCTAGGACCTGGCTAGAACTGTATGTTGATAGGAGATCAGCCAAATTAAAAAAAAAGTGTTATTGATTATACACATATTTATTGCTATAAAAAGGTTTAATTTTCATTAATAGCTTAAAACTTTCATATTGTTTGTTTAAAAATGCCTGCTACAACCTTCTCAACATGAGGTAAAAAATTACCTTAATCAAATCAACTTGTTGAGTGGAGAGTTTATCTCGCTGATAATTCACGAGTGACACAAGCTCCCTATACTGTGTATTATAGCTAACAGCCTCTGGATTTCTCTCCTCATCTGGCTCGTTCACTGGTGACATGTGATTGGAACGTGGCCTTGATCGACTGGGGGACTTCTGAAGCCCCTGAGGTGGTGGAGGGGATCTGTATGGTGGTGGAGGGTCCCTGGGTGAAAGATTATATCCTATTTCATGCAACATAACTACAGAAGATCCATAAGACTGTTGGGAAACATTTTTGATATTGATTCAAAGTTCTACTACAACATGCTATGTCTACAAAAACATGTAATTTTTTTATTTGTTATTATTGTGTTAATTCTTAGCTAACTTTGTTGACTTACCTGTATGGTGGAACATCTTTCATAACAGGGCTATCAGATTCCGGGGTTTTACTCTGTTGTATGCCCTTTACCACACCAACAGGATTACTCGGTGATGTATTTACATTGTTAAAGGCAGAGTTTGATCTATTTGCTGGACTCTGTTTATCTTGTAAGTTGGGATTGGGTGTATTTTGACTGTTAACAGTATTGTTATTTAAAAAGTGGAAAAAACTGACATTTTTAACAATAAAAAATTAATTGGGATGTTAGATTTAATCCTTAATATAAAATATTGTCAATATCTAGAGATGGTTATAACTGGTCAACATCGGGAAATCAGGCTTTTGTCTTTGATCCCAAAAGAAAATAAAAAAATATAACTTATGAATAGCTCTACTTACCCATTTCCATTTTGTGACTTAATATTACTATTAGGTGGTATCGGTTTTTGGTTATCGTTACTATCTGATCTTCTTAAAATGAATTGTATATCATTTGAATACTCTCCCCATTTCATAAGAATCTGTAAATCATGCATATGATGAAGACATTTAGTCTTTGTTTAATAAATAAACCTTATTAAATAGATCATCATGATGCATTTCTTTGATTTGATGATTAAATGTGATTTACATAGGTGATACCAGCTAATATTATATTCGGTGACCTATAGACAAACTTATACGAAAAGAAAAAAAGGGCAAAAATTTAAACACATACAACATTTATGTGCAATAATATTATTAATATGGTAGTATAATTTTGTTTATTACCTTAAGAGGATACTCTTGAGGTGCCAAGAGCCTTTCATTATTTCGCCATCTCTCAATTAATGTGAATCTCCCCACTTTACCTGTAGCATGAGCTAACGCAAAAACTACATCCTGTTGAGAATAATAACTGTTAATAAGATATTTATGAGAACAGCAAATTTTATTAGGTCGAGAAAGCGTAAAGAAAGTATTAAGGGATAATCGGAAATCTAACTGTATTCAGCGTGAATAGAATTTACAAGATCGTTTTTAAATAGGGATTTTATTTGTGTCAATAGATTTCCAAGTGTAAAAAAAAACTAGCAAAAATGAATTCTACCTGACAAGTTGTAGTCTCGGTTACTCCACAAACAATCCTTTGTATTCCCTCGACCCAGACCTTTAACTCCATTAATCTGGGACAGCGTAACACCTACTCAGCACATTAAAGCTTTCGATTAAACATCACTAACCGATTCTATTTTAATCCCCAAGACTTTTTTCAATGTACACGAAAACACATAACAAATTATTACAAACATTCCATTAAAATATTTCACTGTGACCAATTGCAATTTGCAAGTTTATGACATCAATGAAGTGTCAAACGCGTGATGTTTTTGTTTTAACAATTACCACAGATTGTAAATGTAACGTTAAGAAATAGCTCTATAGATTGGGTAGGACCGGAAAATAGAATTTATTTTTATTTAAATTTCGAACTACATATTTTATTTAAATTGTCAGTCTCACAATAAAGCGTCACATTGCATATTTTACGAGCGCTAGTTCGCTCTCAAGTAGAAACAAATATTATTTTTAAATGGCCCAAGAAGACGATGAGGAAGTATGTATTACCTGATTTAATTCTTAATCATTTTTTTTAACTAGTCCTAATATTTTAATCTAATTTAATTTTAATAATCTTATTACCTACTCTTGCAGGATTTAGTATTTAACGTCGAAGAAGTACAAAAAATAGTACGGGATAATATCGAATTATGTTTGGGAGGGAATGTTTACAGCCATTCACGAGCACCTCAATGGATCACAGTAATCACAGAAAAGACATTGGCTAGGCTGACTAAACTCAATAAACCATTTAAATATATAAGTATGTACTCAACAAATCTATTGTTTTTTGTTCTAACAGCTATCAACAATAGTTAATGCATCGATCTATAAAGAGGTTTAAAGTTAATCACGTTACTATTCGTATATAGTACATATTGCCGAGTGCGCTCTTTATATCGTATATAACTGAATCGATTAATTATTATTATTATTCAAACAGCGAACTTTTGTACCAATAGTTTCTCTCTCCCTGCCTTTAAAAACGATTTAATGTTTTTTTTTATGAGAGAAAATTATTAACGATTTTCGGTGAATAAAAATTACTACCCTCAAAGCAATATCTATTGATTGATACAAATTTATGTGAATTTCAGTGAGAATGACTGTCACCCAGAAGAATGGGTCTGGACTCCATACAGCCGCTGCCTATTTTTGGGATACAGCAACTGATAGCACGTGCACCGTTCGGTGGGAAAATAAGTACATGTACTGTATTGTTAACATATGGGGTTTAGCGTTACAAGTATAATTTAAGTAATTTCACTTAAAGCAGGAATTTTTAGACAAAAACTTAGAAATTATAAAATCAAACAGAACCCATTATCAATACCGTGTTAACAAAGCTATTTTCAGATAAATATTGGTATCTTAATTTGATCTAGTTCTGTAAATAAAGGTGATAAATAAAACAAAAAGGGTAAAGCACATTTTAGTAATTTTATTTTTGGTAAAATTTACCACAATACAAAATAATAATAATAGAAATAAATAAAGTAATAAAATGTATAGACAGGTCATAGAACTATGCATTGTAAAATTGGTGCTTTTAAAGCAATAATATAATTTATAATAACATTTAGGCAAAATGGCATGTGTTCACATTAAAAAATAAAGCATTACTTTAAAAAAAACATAAGCTGATGTTAAAAAAAAAGAATTCAAATGTCAAATATCACTTAGTGATTTGGTCTTTTCTACATTTCTGTAGGACTATAGCAAAACAATTCAATTAAAGCCCACAATTTTTCTATGTTCAGGCTGGGAGTACATGAGAACCTTTTTGTAGTCTATTGTATGGGGCCTGTAATGTTCTTACATATCACTTGGGCTTGGATTATGATCGAAACAGTAATTAAGGTAATGTCACGAAATCCCAGTCTAAACAATCACTAACTTCCAAATGAAAATCACAAACGACAACACTGCCAGGGTCAACAAGTAAAATTATAGTAGGAAAGTAAGAATTCATTAATTAGTTTATATGTAAAATAATTACGATAACTACACATAGTCAATAAAATTATCTGTACTTTTCATTATTATCCATAAATCGATGTATAATTCTAAATCATGTATAAAATGTAGAGAAAGTGTTTTCGTTTTTAAGAAGATATCGACGCTATTCTATGGCTACGGGTCGAAATGATCACTCTTGTAAAGACTAGCTAATGGACGCTGCAAAGGATGATTGTTCACTATTTTGTTCTCTACGATTGTACTTATTCACATCCAGGTCATAGTGAGGCTGCATTTGGTTTATGAACAACCATCCTTAGTACTTCCGAGGTCTTCAAATCTCAGTTATTTAAGCTGTAACTTAAAAGCAAACATAGAACGGTCACGACTTGATAGTACAAACATAGTGTTTTTATATTGACCACCTCAGAAGTGAAATTTAAATTCAACGCTCACGCTGCGAATTCGAAATTTAATTTAAAAAAAAAAACAAGAAAATTAGGTTCTAATGCAGTATAAGAATCATTTCTCTTCTATTCTCAATTTTGGATTTCGAACGTGCAAAGCGTCAAGAGCGAACATCAAAATCGAAATTCAAACACCCGAACAATTGAGACGTAGTGCAAGTGGCTGTACAAATGTATCGTTACTAAAACTATTTTATCTGCTCTATTGACTTGTAAAATACGATATCTAATACTGCGCTGCTCTGTTGCAGTAGCTCGACTGAATTTAAAGTATTCCCACTGGTTCATAATTGTGATGACAATGTGATGTTAATTTCGGTTGTGCCGATAGACTCAATAAAATAAACAAATAAACGTTAAAACCCAAGCTGTGTTGAATATATTAAAGCTAACAAATGTGCATTGTCAGTTTACCACGTGCCTTCCGGGGAGCAATAACAACCTCGTCGAACCCACACACCGAACAACTTATATACAGTACATAAATTTATAAAGTACATCCTACCGCTATGACTACAATAAAACGATTTGTCGCTTAACCACGTTATTATGACAAATAATTTCCTCTTATTTACACTTTCTCTATACAATACTTAATGAAATTACTAAAAAGTAACATTGTACTCGCTTACTACCCTTCGTTCGAATGTACCGGTGCCTAATTATTAGTATGTACACGAGACCGAGACGGGCCTCAAGTGAATAGAACAAACGAGGAACGAAATATATAATATACACTATGCGCTAACATTCGACACGCCATATCACAACGATTAAGTGTACCACCGCGACCGATACCGCACTTACAAAATGATACAACGTAAAAAAATATTTACAAAAATATCTAATTAAAAACCTATCGCAAAATACAAAATATACTTCAAACGAATAAAATATACATTCCAACAACTGTAAACACTGGGCAGATTCAATAAAGAGATCATAACAAGATTCACGTGAATATCCAATAAGCGCTGGCGCTTCCGTATGTATGTTGGGATGTCGCGACGCGTCGTCCGGTCTTATTGTCTTACAATTACTATCTACACTTTGTGCTCGACCCAGTATTTCACTTCCCCACTGCACCGAGACCGAATCACGCGAAATTATCCAAAAATGTAGTTATCGTCTATTGGCCGTATCCCTTTCTAACGCCACTATATTGATATCTGTTGTCCTTTTTCCACTAATACAAAACAAAAAAATTTGCCCGAAAAGGACAAAATCTAGGGTATAATGGCGTTGTAAGTGGATTTTGTTTCAATAATTCGTAAATTATGCTATCAAGGTAATGTTAAAACACGTGTCTTAATTCTAAATTACGGGTAAATTGGGTGACGGCGTCCATAGTATCTGTCCGTTGAGGACGGCTAGGGCGAAACGCCCGTATAATTGACTCCATTTCAATTTCCATATCTAGTTTAGGTATTTGCGACATTTCTTGGCACCGCAGGTGCACGGTATCTTGACCTCTTCAAAGGGGAACTTATAGTCGTAGGTCAGTTCTTCGCCGATGGTGATGCGACGCAGTGCGAATATCAAGATGTGCTTGTGTCCGTGGATGTCCACAACCCGGGAATAGCAATTGGGCTGTAAGTTAATTTATGAACAATTCAGTTTAAATTTATTATTTCAATATTCCTTGACTAAAGTTTAAGACCTTTAGAAATTATGCAATTCCAATTTCTGTATAAATCTATAAATGTTTTATGATTGTATATATAATATATCAAGGAATAAATTTATTTCACATTTTTTTTTCTTTTTTTACTCATTTAAACCATTATTACTAACTTAATATAAAACTTACATCGCATGAATGGTTGATAAACCTCGCGGCGTTGCCCTTAAGAGTAGCGTCCACCACTAAGTTGTCGTCAATTCGGAACATGTAACACCCGCCCACTCCGCGGCGTCCGCTCATGGCTTCATATTTCTTCTCGCGCTGGTCAGCCAGCACTGCTCGTATTACCTCACCGGCGTATTCGATCACCATATCACCTGAAAATCATTTTTGTATCAATCATCAATAAAAAGTAAAGAAAAACTGGTATGCCAGTTCTTCAGGTTGGTGTTTGAAATGCGGGTAGACAGACAGAAATTACATGCTTGGGTTTCCTGAAACAATAAACATACCTTCTTCAATATCACGCTTGCAGAAAAGACCCCGACCGTGAATGTGAGAACGGTACACGCCCACTGAAGCTTTCGATGTCTCTTTCAGTTGCCTAAATCTCATTGCCGGCGGTAGTGTTGCCAGACGCCTGTAAAAGATAATACACGTTAGTTATAATTAAATTATTCGCGTTTAAATAAAACACTTTAACGGTTTAAAACTCAAAGTATATTAGTTAAAATTGTGTAAAAGCAGCAGCCGTCGCCATCACGGGAAGACTGCGACGGCTGCTGCATAGGGTCCGAAACGTCGGATTAAAAGTATTTTTAAACAAGCTTAACTAATATATTTATTTCGCTTTTTAAACCGTTGAAGCGTTTTATTTAACTATGTACTACTCGCGTAACCTACAAACCATATTTAATTTTCGGTGTTTTAAAATTGAAAGCTGAAAACAGCAGACTACTACTAGTTACTTTATAGAAGAGCAAAGATCGGTTATAGATTTTTCTAATTTCCTTTCAACTGTTGATTTTCAGTTGACTGTTAACAGTAAATCTAGACTATAATAGAATTTCCAAGCACAATAAAATACCTTGATATAGAGCTTTCTCCCTCTTGCCCACCGAATGGTGGTGGCTCCTCTCTAAACGGCGAAGCCATCCAACTAAACATATCATGGTTCTGTTTCCTCGATATAGGGCCGGTTCGTGCGCTTCCCCAAGGACTCTCCTTGAAGCCTTCACTGAGATCCAAGTCATTGTCCCAACTATTTAGTGCCCGCCCTTGTCGAACCTTGTATTTGGAACACCGGTTTGCCTGTTTATGAAAAAAATCTATTATAAGCATAAATGTTTAAAATAGCAAATAGTTGTAGAACAAACTTTTTAATTGTGTTGAACTGCAAAATTTTGATGAATATTCAAAATAATATAAAGATGTTATTTTTTAAACCTAATTCTAACTTGACATTTTTAACTTTTTTATAATAAGTAACTATCACTGTAGTTCGAGGTTTGGAAATTATTCTTAAACCGAATTTATAATTATCCAAAAAGATAATAATAACTCTTATAATATACATAGATACTCAATATTTTATACGAAAAATACTTACGCCAGGGAGTTGTTCAATGAGGTATCTCAATGCATTGTTGTTGAGACCGAGCAAATGTGCACCAGAGAGTGTAGATGGTAGATTGTACTGCATGAGCGGAAGACCAGACTCCTTTCTAGCGTTTTGTACAGCTTCTATAACTTTGGACCATAGATCAGATAGGGACGATGAACTGTAGGTAAATCCGTCCTCAGATGACACTTCATATATTAATTTGGGCCCATCATCCTTTGGCGGTTCTGGCGCCTGCTTAGGTAAACCTGCTTTATTCTCTTGGCCCTTGTAGATTTTGTTCTGCTTTTTCGTAATAACCGCTTCAGATTCCGACTTTTTATCAGTGAGAGGGCGTTTCGTTATCTTAGGAGATGGATTGGTTTTAGGTGCCGCTTGAGATTTATTAATATCCTTCTCAATTAGGACCTTAGCTGGCTCTAGTTCAATCTCAGCATCTAGACTCGGCAATGCCGTCATTTTAGGGACCAGCTCGACTCTTTCCGATCTCGATGTGTCAGATGATGCGGTACTAGTATTCGCTTGAGGAATTTCAGAAGACATTTGCATGGCTCTAGCTGCGTCTCTTTCCTCTTTCTCCCGCTTTGCTTTTTCGAGTTCCATCATACGTTTTGACTCTTCTATTGCTCTTTCCAAATCACTATCAATATTCTCGTCTTTCACAGTCAGATCAGGCATGTCGTGACTGATTGTTCTTTGTTTAGGAGCGGTTGAAGTCTTCGGTCCGACATTTTTAAATTTACTTTGTCCATCTCTGTGTAAAGGTAAGACTCGATTCATGGGTCGCATGGACATAGGCGTAACGACGTTCGTCGGTATACCAGATTGCTGAGTAGGGGGAGCTTTGGGCAATGTTATACTGGAACTGTTCTGGGTCGGCAAGTTGATCGTGTTATTTTGTACTGGTATACAGATCATGTTGTTGGTATTATTTTGGTTTTGCAATAAATTGTTAGTAGAAGGAAGTGGGAAATTCAAGTCCGCCGCCTTAGATGCAATCTTTGGATCCACGAGATTATTTTGGACTGTTATGTTTACAGTATTATTACTCGAGTTAACATTGATATTCATCGGTGCACTATTTGGTATAGCTTGGAAGGGTACATTTATCATAGTGCTATTTGCTTCAGTCTTTTGTTGGAATGTTAGCGGGTCAGGAGTCACGTTGGGTACATTGTTGTTGCTGTTATTAGTAACAACCCGAATGTTATGTTGTTGTGGAATTTGATTGATAGTATTATCAAGGGTCGGCGTATTCATTCTGTTTCTTTCTGGCAAATTAATAATTCTATTGGCATTTGGCGCGTTCATTTGCATATAATTCATCTGATTGTTAACAGATATTGTGTGGTTTTGCTTTTCGTTGTTGCCGACAATATTCACCTTACTACAGTCGTTATTCTGATGGTTTGTGATCGCCATATTAGCATTAACAGATGCCATAATATTCTTGCCTCGTATAGTTTCTCCAGAAAATTTAGGCGGGTCATTTATCGACATATTTCTAGCAGTACTCATTGGGTTTTCCAAATTGGGTAATTGGTTTTGCACTGTGTTATTTGGATTCATACAGCTATTTATGTTCATTTGGGAGTTATTAGACACTTGATTTGTCATCATTTGAATTTGATTATTATTGTTTAGTGATGGAGTATTATTTATCATCATTCGATTGTTGTTATTTGATAAAAGATTGGCATTTTCGGTTGAATTATTGCAACTCAATAACATGTCGTGAGCAGATAAATTGCTTTGGTTATTATTTCCGTAGATCGCATTATTGCTCGTGTTGTTCATGATCATACTATTAGACATGTTGTTCGAATTGCTAATTCCCATATTACCATGTATCATATTTCCAGAATTGTTTAAATTGATATTATTTGTATTCATGTTAGAACACAATTCAAACGACTGACTATTAGAGAACTGAGAAGTATTATTATTGGCACAAGTATTACTACACGCATTTTGAATTTCATTCTTAATGTCAGGTATATTTGGCATATGCAAAATGGAACTACTCAGTTGATGGCTACTGTTATTGATTTGCATAGAACTGTTGATATTGTTGTGCATGTTCATGTTATTGACAGTATTCATATTATTAATCTGATGTTGCATCATGTTCCCATGATCTAAAGATGTTCTATTATTTGGCATTTGATTTAGAGTGTTGTGATTTTGCATACCCATGGAACTGTTATCGTGGCGAATATTATGCATAGTAGACATTGCATTTGTATTATCCATTTGGTTCCCATGACCCATATTAGAATTAGGTCCTTGCATGTGATGCATATGCATATTATTGTCCATCTGTTGTCTATTATGCATTTGGTTCGAAACATGCTGGTGAATATCGATAAGGTTATTATCCATGTGAGCTCGATTATTTTGAATTTGCATAACGTTAGGCATCTGGTGTTGATGGTGATGAATAACATTCTCCATTTGTCTGTTTTGTTGCATTGTCATTTGTTGATTCATATGAATGTTTGAATCCATTTGTGGTCTACCATTATTTGTGGTGTGATGATTCATTTGTTGCTGCATCGTATGCAATTGTTGATTATGTAGAGATTCCATCGTTCTATTTGAGTGCATCTGATGATTCATGTTATTCATCGAATGCTGCTGCATATTATCCATCATCATCCTGTTGCTTTGCATGTTGTTGATGTTGTTAAGCGACTGGTTCATATGAATTTGATTGATGTTATTCATTTCCTGGCGATTCATATTATGAGAATTTGCCATTCCGTGTATGTTCATATTCTGACTTATCAGGTTGTTATCGGGTGTACTTCGCGAAGACATCATGCTACCTTGGTGTTGATTCGACTGGTTATTCATTAAATTGTCGTGATACCTATTATTTTGCCCTTGGTTCATTTGCTGCTGTTGTAATTGATTGTTGTCAGCTTGTCGATTGTGTTGAATCTGTCCATTCATTATATGAATCTGATTATTCTGAGATAGCTGTGAATTGTCGTGTGATATAATTTGCATATTTCCATGAGGCAAAGTGGTATTATTTACTGTTGAATTAATGTCATGTTGCTGGTTGTTTTGTTGCGTCATGTTTTCACTTGGCGCAGATACGTTAACTCTACTGTTTGTTAGCTCATGACATGACATATTAACGTTTTGCATAGACGTATTTACAGTATTCATTATCTGCATTTGTCCATGCGAGCCACTAGCAATTGAACACATTTGATTTTGATTATTTGTGATATTTATTGAATTCTGGTTGTTTTGCATTTGAGGTCGGATCGTATTATGCGGAATTAGACTTATCGATGGCGACGAGATATTATTCATGTTGTTGGATACTTGGCAGCTGCTCATCTTGTGAATACTCATCGAACCAATCATGTTGTCCGCGTTGTGTTTGTTTTCATTGTTTCCCATGTTTTGGAATGTCTTTTCGCTTTGAATGTGTTGTTGCGAGTGCGCCGCCATGATTTCTTGTGAAAAGTTCATGTGGCCACCTTCAGTTTTAGAGAGCGCGTTTATTTTGCTCAATTTTAAAGTGGTATCAGCATCGAAATTGTTCGATAAGGAGCAAGCTGGAGAGTAGATATTACCTGAGCTTATTTGTATAATATTATTCGAAGTATTACTTGGGTTATTGCTAGCGTGACTGCCTATGTCGAATTGATGAGAATGCAACGATCCAGTTATTGAATTACTGTTGTTAATTGAAAGTAGACAGTTTTGGTTATTCTTTTCGGGGTCAATATGAGACATTTGACGTCCACCTACATTGTTCATACTGGACGGAACAGATGTTGCGTTCGTCTTCAGCCCCAGATTATGTATCTCAATTTTATTGTCGCCCATATGAATGCTCGTTGGTGTATTGATCTGTCTCCAGGGCGTTGGCGATTTGGTGCTCTGAGTGACACTTATAGTAGGCATGCTGTTGCAGTTGGAATTGTCATTTAAGTTTCCACTTATCTCGATCACATGAGAGTTTTCGAGCTTCATAGAGTTGTTTTTATTCGACGAGATCGAACTTGAAACAATAGGTTGCGACAGGGGAATAGATTGCAAAGAGAATGGCACAGATGCCGAATTAGGTATCGATTGTGATATAGCCATAACGGGCTGCCCAGTAGACGAAACTAGCGTAACGTTTGGTGACATCGACACGCTGTTGTGCTTTGATATTATGGCTTTCTGATTATTTTGACTATTAGATAAAGTCATATTGTGGACCTGAGATGTTATAGGATTAAGATGCTTTCCGTTCATTAGGTTAGCAATGGACTGCGGTCCCAACGTCATCTGCGCGGGAGCCATTTGTACAACCTTCGGAGTCTGTCTGTTATTATGGGATTGTTTATCTGGTAGTGGTTGTAGGGTAAGATTGGGTACACTTGTTTTGACGTTTTTCAGTATTTGTGGAGTCGACTGGACAGTTTGTCCAGTGACGACATTAGCTCCCGACGAAGCCACGTGTGTGGCGTCCCCGACACTATTAACTACGACGTATCCGGTTGGAACTTCTACGATTGGTTCTATTTTGCTGGCCTGAAAGACTTGAGTCGTAGTCGCCGAGAAGCTACTATTTTGAGCTAGTACCCCTTGCATGGCAGTAGAGACAAACTGTTGTGACGACATAACAGTGTTTTGCACGATCGTTTCTAGGCCATAGTATACCGGTTGTGTCGTCAAGTACATGCAGCCTGATGGATCGGTCACCATTTCCAAGGTGGGAGCCGATCCAAGGATTACTTGGTCATTGCAGAATTGTGGCAGTATTGTGCCTTGAGGTAAAATAGTCGTACCGGTAGCTGGTGATATAATAGTGTTGCCCTGCGATGGCAATGCGTTGGGTATAATGGTCGTCTGACCGTTGCCTATACCACTTTGGGACACGACGGTTGCCCCAGCCGTTTGCAGCGTGTTATTGGGTAAAAGAGTAGCTTGGGATGTTAGGTTTCCTTGTGTTAGACCTTGAATGGCGCTTTGTGGTATGATGGTAGTTCCATTTTGCGTGTGTATCGCTTGTGGTAAAATGGTAGGACCGTTAGGACCTTGAGATATGATTCCTTGTGTTTGTAAGGCGCCTTGTGGTAAAATAGTTGCTCCTTGCTGTAAAGTTTGAGGTAGAACGACGTTTCCTTGTGGCAGTAACACAGGTATTCCCCCACTCGGTACAGCTACGAGGCCTCCTGATTCCGTTTGTTGTATTTGGAAGGTCTGTGGCATTAGACTGCCTTGGGATATGAATTGCGTCGCTCCAGTCTTAAAATCGCTTTGAGGTGCAATAGTGGCGATGTACTGCATATTTTGATTCTGTTGCTGTGACAATGCTTCAACATAGGACATAATATTTTGGTTCGCCACCGGCTGTACTATTATTGAAGGCTGGCCGGTCTGATTATTTGTCTGCAACTGGATGACGGTATTCCCCGGCCCAAGGGGTGACTGATTTATAGTCGTTATTGTTTTCTCGAGTTTCGTATGTCGTTTAATTGTGTTAGCCGGTTTAGGGATAGCTCTTCCCCTACCTCTATTTGTCGCTTGGTATAGAGGTTTCGGCTGAACCGGGGCTGGTTGCTTTTTAGGGGATTTCTGAGGAGTCCCCGGTAATATGATTTGTTGTTTGCCTTGTGAATTCGGAGATGATAAACGTTGAGCGGTCATAGCCGGTACTACTATTGTATTGCCCTGCAACTGTGGTCTTATCATGGGTTGAATGTTCTGAATAATAGAAGTATTAGGCATACTTTGAATTGAATTCACTGGCAATGCTATGGAGCTGGCACTAGCCATATTTGGGAAGTTGGCGATCTGGCTCTTCCCTTGAATCATTTGATTTGAAGGGATTGTTAATACTTGATTGGAATTCGATGAGATGACTTGAATGCCTCCGGATCCCGTCAATAAATGAGTCATATCAGCGCCGCTGTGTATCTGTTGTATATTTCCATTACCATTGCCTGGCTTCACGCAGATGTTGTAAGGTAGTATTCCAGGCTGAGTAATTATTTGTGGCGCCATTAACTTTTGGCCGCCTGCGGAACTCGTTTTAGGGGGGAGTAACATCTGAGGAGTGACAACAATTTGCGGTGAAGACAGAACCTGTTGATTCGAAGAAACCTGTACGTTCGTCTTACTTTGATCGAATATAACTGTTCCAGATTTCATTTGTTCAGTTATGGTCATCGTCATCTCGTTGTTTGGTCCGGGTGATGGGGTTTCGACAATCGTTCCGTTAATTGTTATTTGTCTTGTGTTAATTGATGTTCTTCTGGTAGAAATAGACTCTGCTTTAACAGTACTATCGCTTCCGCTGACGACTCCCGCGTGTATAATCATGGGCTGAGCGAATGCATTTTGAAAAGCATTCTGCAGTGTCGTTAATGTTCTATTTTCGGGAGATTTAGGGTTTTCACTCTCGCTTTCACTTGTAGACATCATATCGCACGATGGGATGTGTCTGTCATACGATTCTTTGTTTCTGTAGGTGCACTGACATCTGTCACATCTTACCAGCTGTTCCATTTGGCCAGATCCGTTATCGTCCAAAGGTCGCATGACTAGTTCAGGTTGGCCACTAATGGAGTTTCCGGCTATTGTCACAGTATAAGTACTCTCAGACCCGGAAGCCCTGTATAGGAATTGATTTGTTTGATTCTTCTGTATGTTATCGATATGGTCGTCGGCCCCGTCTAATTGTTGTATTGGCGTAAAAATGTCATGAGGGCTACCCGGTCTTGAGCTGCAGTTGCTCTCTGAACCGGACCAATCAGCAGCACCATCCAACTGAGAAATCGGGCTGCATTGTATTTTAGTGTAAAAATCTATGACATCTGTGTAGTATCCTTCGTTCTTATCTGTCTTTTCAGTGCTTTCGTCTTTTTGTTTAGGGGATGTCGTGCGATAGTTGATTCCTGATGAGTGTGGTGTTTCTGGACATATCTCATTGGAAGTGACAGTTTCCCGTTTCAGTTTTTTATCAGTGGTTCTTTCATTTTCTTTGATCGTTTCCAGCGCACTTTCGGTTATTGACAATCTCTGGACAGGGCTCATTTTACCAGTCACTGTGGAGGACTTTCCCATTTTACACCTCTTTATAGTAGAAGAGAGTAGGGTTGAATCGAATTTATTATTCCATGTCAGACTTGACGATCTTTGTTGCCCGCGACCAGTGGTCAATGATTTAAGGCTGTGATTCTGCAACAGCATTTCTGATTTACTTCTTTTCAGCTCTTTGCTTCCAGATTCTAATCGAGCGTTTAATAACTCATCAATGAAATCTGTCGACCGCGAATCCGCTTTATCATCAGATTGACTCATAGCTCCATAAAATTCACTCTTCAAATCCATGGCTACAAGATCTTCATACGACATCAATTTGGGAAAAATATCTTGCATAGATATCCCATCTAGAAGGTCATGATTGAGATCTTCAAATATGGCGTCTTTTACTTCGGGAGGTAGAAGATCTGCTGTATTTTGTGGCTCTTCTTCGTCTTGCTGTTCTTGTTTACAAACGTTATCAAGCAAATACTCCACAACTTGCTTTACAGCTAAATCTTCTAAAGTCACTCCAGTACCGAATTTTATAGGTGACTTATCGCTCTTGCGCATCAATGCTTTGCTCGAGCCTGTTTCTATGCTCTGATGCCAGGCGCCAATTTCAGCCATCACTCGTTCGACTACCTGGACGTCCATTGTATGGTCTACGGTTATGTTTACTCCAAAATCAAAGCCCGGTAATGGTTCAGCCAGAATGAGCTTAGTCTTTATTGTATATCTCACAATCTTACTTGGCTTCTTACACGACCAAAAGAGGCGCGTACACGAAAAATCGACAGGCATTAGGAAATCCTCGTAATCAGACACTGATGGTACAATTTTTCCTAAACTATTCACGCTTAGTGACCCCATGAAAAACTGGACTTTACTTATTTCGCTGTATCTTTTCTTCTTTTTATCGAGTTCAACATATACTGGTCTCGTTAATTCAAAATCGGCATCTTTTTGCAGGCTTTTCTTTGGAATGTCTTTACCGTGAGTGGGACAAAATACTCTCTTGTCATCTAAAAATGCGCAATTAGTTCTTCTTGCGCATACATAATGATAGGTCTCGCTGCAATTTTTCGCGCAGCATCCGACGCTCGCTCCCTTAAGTTCACAAGTTGCGCATTTAATCATTTTGCCTCTGGAAATTGCTGAATGTACATTCTGTAACGAGCCATCGATTTCTTCGAACACTTCTGCCGACCACAAGGCGCAATTGGCGTGTATCCAATCGTTCTGGCCACAGTATAAGAGCCTTCCTTCAATTGACGGTAAACCATCGCTAGTAGATTTGCATAGTATACACATCCGTGAGTCTGTAATTGGATAAAACTCCAAAAGATCCTCTTCCTCATTCTGTTTTTCAGATTCAAGTTTTGGAACAATCTGATCGAGCGGCCTTTCCACAGAATGCACAGCTATCTTTAAGCCTTTAGTATCTGTCATTTCATGATCTTTGAGTGATTCTGAATCGTCTTGTTCCCCTTCTACTTCGAGATTTGGTTGAAGGCAATTACTTTCACAGTCAAACCAAGGAAATGTCTCTGAAAACAAGCATTTATAAATCGATGATAGATCACCACTTGCCGTTCGTTCTATCACATCTCTCATATCGTGATTGAAGTCCTTTAGTGAAACATATTCATCACTATTGACTCTTTTCTTTATATCCAACAGAGATGGTGAGATAAGTCTATTTATGTCTTCGATATCGTCATCTTGATTCGGCCGCGCAATAGCTGGACTTAAGTCTTGTTCACTACGAGCTTGTGGGAATCTATCTACAACTTCATCGTCGTCTGATATAGGTTCATATTTATCCAACAAAGATGGTGACATAGCAATTGCTTTCTCCTGTTTTTCTGTGGGGTTGTTTTCATGTACTTCCACACATGACGTACTAAACTCTGTTTTATTTAAGCCTGTTGAGAAGCATATTTCTTTGTTCTGCATCAACGGTTCCTGAAGGTTAACGACTTTATGCGAGGTGTGAGGAATATCTTCCTTTTCCATTTCAACGTCATTTAACAATGCACATTGCCATGTTTGCGACGCGTTCGGTTCGTCAGGTTTCAGAGTGCTGCGCCGGCCTTTTGCCGTGTTCCGATAGACTTTAGTTTCTGTTGTATTCTTCATAGTTTCATCCCCAGTATCAAAATGTAACTTTCTAATTGCTTGAGGTGACGTCAATCTATACGGTTTGTTAGGCACTGGAGTATTTTTGTGTGGGGTGAGTTTTAAAAGGGCGCATGCCTTTTTGTTCTTGGCGAGGAGTTTTAATAGATGTAATAGTCTTCCTTTTAGATGTTCAGTCAACATTTTTCGCCATGGTGGATCTTGAGGCATACACTTACAACAAATGTACTCAATGGATGGCGGTAGTGCTGAGAGAAGCTGATACCCCTCTCCCGAAAGACCTTCGCAACTTGCGTGAACCCATCTTGCACACCAACCACACTCCATCATCTAAAAATATATACATATGATATATTTGATTATTATACAATTGAATATAAAAATAGCTAGTTAGCAAAAGTATTATTTACATGACCAAAATTAACTGTTTACTAACAACATGTACTGTAAAAAACAAATAAAAAACAGGAAAAATGAAAGAACATATTATTATTTTCTTAATTATACTTTAGTATAGATAAAAAAAACTGAAATATATTATGCGTTTTAGTACCTTGCTATCGAAATCGTTGTCTCTATAGCAAGCTTGGCAAAGAGGACAATAGTTGCCTTTTTGGCGTAGCTTGAAGCAAGGTCGACAGAACGGAAGACTCCCAACAAACTTATTGACTCGGCTACTGTCACAACTCTTGCACTTGAGGCATGCACTGCAGATCTGTAAAGTAACGAAATAAGGTTGTTATCAATTACTCTATAATACGGCCGACGTAACTTGGCAAGTCTGAACAGAGGTTAGACTAACTTTGGCATGTACACTCGTAAAGAAAACGAATACTGCTATTTATTTTCGTTACTGGGATAAATGAAGATTTTACCTATAGCAAGCAAAAGTAACATACCAATAATTGATTCGAAGAGACTAAGGGCTACGAACACTTATCTTTCACTAAAATACAGAGACAAAACAAAAGTATAACAAAAGAGAAATAATAATATTAAATTTAACAATAAACAAGCACTTTTCTAACGGACTGCGGTCAAGACAGAGATAACAAAATTAACGCCAAGGAGTGACCGAGACACTACTGTTTACCGAACATTACCGAATATGTACGAAGCTTTCAAAAAGAACCAAATAGAGATGTCCATACGCGATCCTTGAGTGTCGTTTAATAGATTCCTATTGAAATAGACAAAATTGGATCGTAGAAATATAATTGTATAAAAAGCCCTAAAGAAGGCATAAATAGTAATTGTATAAATAATTACTCATATTTAACAAAATCAGGTAGTTGAATAATGAAAAAAGTTTTTAATGATTTTATTTTCCTTTAAAGGTAATCATGGTATTGTTTATTAACAACACCATTCACTTCATCCATTTAGTACAATATCTCATATGATTTAAAATCCATAATCTAAATCGATAAAAATCGATTACAAAATTTGATAGAATAAGCGGTCGATTGTGTTGACTCAATGTTAATCACTAGCCTAGATCTTTGTCCCGCGCCTCTCGCCCTTGCCACCGTTAACATCCTAAAGAACGTTTCTGCGATTCAATTTCTATTTTTTGTCGTAATGTGTTACGAGCCAAAGAGGTAAAAATTCTGTTGATAAATTACGTATTAATGACTATATAAGCTGTTTATTTCGTAGCCAAAATAAAAATGGAGAAAAACCTTTCAAGACTCACTTCGGGTTTCTACGTCAACAAAGTAAGTGTATACACAGATAAGTAATTATATAATTTTTCAATAATCCAATACAGGTGAATAGATCTAGTTATATAAAATACTAGCGGCCCTGTCCCGGCTTCGCACGGGTAGACATAAATAAGTACAAATATTTAAATTATAAGCATGCTAATTAAAACGACCATGAATCACTAAATTAGAAAAAAATTGTATTGCGCGTCCTAATTGTTAACAACCTGCGAGCGTTCAGTGTTAGAGTCCCGTGCACGCGTTCGCGAATTCCTAGCTCTATTTCCTTCAAGTCGCTGCGACGATTTTGCATTTTGCTCTGCAAGACGAACCTGAACGTTCGACGATAGAATCTCTGGCTCGCGATTAGGACGCGTACACTATATTACTTTCCAGACGATCATTTTAGGAAGAAGACTCTCCAATACCACTAACTTTTGCTAATCTCGCTTGGAAACTATTCTTAGATAGCTGCGACCTTCTTCTTCTAGGCATATTGCTATGAAGGATATTCATTTTAAATACAAAAGAAAATATTTAAGTTCGAAGCGATAGTTCTCAAAAGAACTTTGACAAACATTATGCAAAGTGTGATTCCTAATACTAAAACTAAGTAGCTTTGAAAAGAACTTTTTAAGTGAAGCATAACAATGTTAAAAAAAATCGAAATATTCAATGTCGTTCGCGCCCACTACGTAAGGAGCCCACTGCTCCTCTATCGTCGAATTAGTTACTCAGTTCTCATAATTTCATGATATCTTTTGAATGGCATGTCCGATTTCAATAATTTAAAAAGTTATCGTAATCATCAGGTATTGAGACATTTCTATTAATTTGTTGAATGTAAAAAAGTAGTTATAGCGACGTAACTACAATAGTTAGACATATGCGATGTTTTTTGTAGATATTGATATATTCTATAATATTGTCGAACATTTTTTTGTCCTATCATTAATACTTTTCGCGGCGTATGCGAAGAAAGTCATTTTACGGCTAATTTTTTTACGCCTTCCGTTGGTTTTAGTAAGAATTTCTATAGATGCCTATAGTAATCAAATACTAAATATAGCCTATGTTACTCAGTGATAATGTAGCTTTCTAATGAAAAAATAATTATTAAAATCGGTCCAGTACTTTTTGAGTTTTTACCGTTACATACAAAAATACAAATCTTTCCTCTTTATAATATTAGTATAGATACCATGGCTTGTACCTGGGGCCAATCGCTGCGATGGTCTGGCGGTGCAGAAGGTAAACACGCTGCATGATAATGCTTAGCACACGACCGACATCGTAAACGGGCTGCGGGTCGCGCACATGCGGCGCACCATACGCACCGCGCACATGTCCATCCTGCTCCGCCATTAGCATCTTCCGCGCACCAACTGTGGTACCACTCGCAACAGCTGGAACATACCAGCATCTGAAAGAGCAAACTTAGTATTAGTGTTGTTACAATACTGATATTGATAGGATTGTTGATGTAGTGATAGCAATGTATGCGGTTAAGTAGATTTACGATCACTCTACTAAATAAGTTCAGTAGTCTGTAAAGAAATATATACGATTTTACTTAACAATAATAGGTTATACTTAAAAAAGTTAGTCCCAGTCCCTCATGTTTTTATAAACATAGTACGCCATTCATAGGAATCTATTTAATCATTATCTGTCTTATGTAAGTAGATAATATTTAAATTATTACTTTTGTATGACAGTGAATCCCTAATAAGAATAATACTTCCTATTTATGTGTACCTTTTCTTTATAGCTTTCATATAGGCACTTAGCTTACCTTTTCCTTTCCTGCACTACCACATAAAAAGCAGAGTTTTGCAACTGTAAATGGTGCAGTTCCAATCAAGCCAAAACCAGAGTTGCATACTTCATCAGGATCGTAACTTTCCCAGAAATCTACGCATATAAGTTCAGGCCTATTCTGTCCACACTTTTGAGCCCTTCCTCGGATCTGTAAATTATACAATTCAAAATGTAATATAAGCACACTTTTAACAATTGGTTAAACCTTTATGATGTTCAAATATAATATGTGAACATCATAAATTACATACAGTGTAAACTCTATATAGCTCTATATAACTGAAGGGAATGTGCATTTTTTGGCGTTTTAAAGGGGTTTTGTTTAAAGGGGGGGAAAAAAATTTGGAGAAAAAAAAAAAAAACCCCCCCCCCCCCTTTTTTTTTGAAAATAGAGTGACGTAACATTAATGTATTTAAAATATAATCTTAATGCATTGAGAATTTGGCCTAAATGTTAATATTATAATTTATATTAAATTACTTGTAAAACAGTAAGAAAATATTTACATTAGTTATATTAGTTAATGGCTTCAAGCTTGTCTTCTTTGGAATAGCATCAAGTATAGTCTCATCTTCACTAGTCTCCATTTTGCTTGGTTTAATAGTGGGAGCTTCAGCCTTTCTTTTCTTAGGTTCTATTTGAACTTCTTGTTCTACCCCCTTGACTATTATTTCTGGAACAATCTGTAGTTTATTCTCTGTGTCTTCCAATTCACTAGATAACTCAGGTATGGCTTGGTCCTTCTCAACAATAGACATTGGCGTATCATCATCAGAAACAGGTTTTTCTTTATCTTTTTCTTCTTGTGTCGGAAATGTTGCAATAGGCTGGCCAAGAACAATTGATGCACTCCGACAGACATGTTTAACTCGAGGTCCTTTTAGTTCCATTTTCTGCCGTTTTGGATCTTCCGTGAGCTTTGAATCACTCTTTTCTTTCTTACGCACTTTAATCTTCGCTAAACGACGCTTTCTATTACTATTAGGATCTTGTTCTTTTTCATTGTTTCGTTCTTTTTGTGGTTTGCTAGTATCCTCCTGAAATATTGAAAATACCCAGTAAATATCCTGATAATGTTTCAAAATAAATAAATCACTTTTAACAGTCTAGAATTCCAAATATATTGTGTTATAAGTATTTATTTATTTTATAGCTGCTGCAAAACATTAATTAACAATTTATACAAAAATTAATTAATATATTTCATGTTTTAAACCGCTAAATGTTTCAATGTGTACTACTTGCGTAAACTATTAGAAATACTTAGTGTCTATATGATTAACATATTAAACATTACAAATTCTAAACTACCAGGTTAATAATAGCATATTGAGTGCTAAATTTTATACAAACATACCTCAAATCCTTCAGCTTTCTTTGATGTTTTCAAAGCAAAGATGTTATTATCCATATCATTTGTAGGCAATGAACTGAATACAGGTGTTGTGCCTGATATAGTGTTGCTAGCGCCAACTTTCAATTGTGCAAGAGGGCCATTTGGTTTATTACCTGACCTCATGTAAGTTGGTAACATAGACATAAGTATTGCTTTTTTGTCCGTGGGAACTTGGAATGCCTTCAAACATAGCTTGAGCCAGCAAGCTGGGCACCTTGCTTTATTAGAGCATTTAAATAATTTCCACTGCTGAGAACGAACCACAGGTGGGACTTGACAATTACCTGGAAATTTTAAGAGTTATTAGTCTTATTTCAAGCATGTAATAATTGAATTGATAATTATAAATTTTGATTAAAAAAATAAAAATTACCATGATACATAGCTTAGCTTAATTGAAGTACTCTCAGTAGAAAACATTTAGCCTTACCTTCACCCCTTACACAATGCAGGACAAGTGGTGATGTTTTTAAAGCCATACGATCCTTCTTCAGTAGTTTCGACACAAACTTGCGACATGATTCACATGAATAAATGCCAAATTTTCGAGCCTGTTTGACAAATTTGTAGAATCGGACAGCTCCGCACACACCACATGTGACAGTAGTAGGAGTGTTATTTGCTGAAAAAGAAACATCATTATGAATTAGGGTAATTTATTTAAAAAAAGCTCTAAATCTTTAATAACAATAACCTTTAATTTTTGCTTTGGTGAATTATTAGTGTATACAATATAACATTAATATTTTTTTTAAAAGACAAACTTATTGACACACATACTTAATACATTTTTGTTTAAATTCTATCATATTACATAAACTCTTTTATACTTACATGATGCTGATCCAACACCCGAAAAGGGTCCATCTAACCCAGATGTAGCTGGAGTAGTTGCTAACTGCAACCTAGCTTCTCTTATTATAACTTTACCACTTAGTAACTGAGAAGCTGATTTGTCTTTCTCTGGACTTATCAATGGCGGTCTTGTCTCCTCATCATCACTGTGTTTTGGACTTTCGCTTTCCCAACTTTCCTCAGATTCTGAACCACTACTGGAATGACTCGAACTACTTGCATCTGATATGTCCATCAGCCTCCTCATTGAATGTCCTCTTTCCTCTTTACCTGGCTCTGGTGATTTAATCTTCTCATCTATATTTGAATTCTCATCTGGAGGAAACTCAATTTCCTTCTCATAAAACAAATCTTGTGACGACTTTCTAGAAGTGTTTGTAAGGCTAGAAAAGGAATTTGTTGGTTTATCCTTAAAAATATTTGCTGATTGTTGTTTTTCTTGTGTTTCAGCATTATCCATCACCTCATCGTTTGTAGAATCTTCATCATGTATATTGTTAAATACTAGCCTCTTTAATTTTGGTTTCTTCAAAACTTTGCCAGAGCTTACACTGATAGATGTTGTTGTTTGTTCTTCACCATCAATGAATCTTTTATTGGGTTTTATGACTCTAGAAGAATGGCTACTTCTCACTGGCAAGAATTTCACTGACCCTATGCTTTCTTTCTCTATTGGTGATGTGATTCTTGGTGGAGGTGATATACATCTACTATCACTGAATTGAGAAAATTTGTTGCTGGATTTAGAAAGTGGATTTAAATTCTTCTTTAGATAACCTTCTTGATATTCCAAAGAAGATTTAGAGCTTAGATCCGTAAGTTTAGCAGGTTTTAATATACTTGTATATGCATGTTCTGATTGTTTGAGGGCTGACTTCTTTTTAATTATTGATACTAAGGGAGCATGATGTTTTGGAAGCTTTTTCAGAGGCAATAATATGTCTTCACAGCTTTCCACTGTACCAAAAGTGACTGTTTTCTTTACTGGTTTGGGTTTATCTGTTTTTAGTGGTTCCATTTTGTTTTGTGATCTCGTACGGACTGGGGATGTTGATAAATCACTATTTGACTCTGGATTATCTGGTTTATCACATACACTTATTGTATCTTTATTCTCATTGCTTTCTGGATCTGCCTCTTTTGCATTATTATTCTCCTTCTTCTCTTCCTCCTGGAATATAAAGATGGGCATTCAAAACACATTTATTGACAAGCACATTATATCAATTAGTAACAAAATGTATAATACTGATGAGGTTTAGTCCAATTAGTTAGTACATCACAACTCTAATAATAACAAAAGAACTAAAATGTTCTAAATCAAATCATTACATACTAGGGTATAACAGCTAAATATTCTAAGGTAAAGAACAGATATTGTGAAAACAAACCTAATAATATTGCATAATATATACATTTTACCCAAACACAACCATAGTATGTCTGGATAAGTATCTTACATCTGCTGTTTGTCAAACACTCTTAACAAAAGTTTACCAACAAAAAGCAACATAAACAAATAATTAAACAGTGGTATTTTTCCCTAGATTATAACTCTATAATTACATTTCAAGTAGAACATTTTGTAGAATACAATACACCAAAACACTAATGTTTCTGACAAGGCCAAATGTGGATTTTGTATTGAAAAGTTAGGTTAGATTTCTAATGCTAATAATATCGTGTTTTGAATGTAACAATGCAAAAACCATTGTAAACAACGTTTTATTTATATTTGTTTTAATAATTGAGTAAAACATACATTGTGTAACAAAGATTCTACATGGACATCAATTATGTTTGACAAAATGTATTGATACTCTGTGATTGGCGCTTCATTGAGGTATAGTTATTACGTAAACAACATTTTCGCACATATGTGGTCAATGATTAAATGTAATAAAGAAGGTGAGCAAAATAAAGATAATTGCGTAGTAGATACCTCTTTCTCCCCAGAAAAGTCATTGCTAGTCGAGCTACGACTCGCTGCGTGGTTATCAGCTGCATTTTCGTGGTAAACAGTCCCGGACAACACACTAATACGCTTTCTGTTATGAAACTTAAGGGGTTTCCCTGGGAACCTGGACCTTCCCATTTTGATATGCACATAAACGAAGGACATTTCAGTGCGTTCCCAGCGTTAGCGAGGAAACTGGCGCGCATGCTCCGGCCCGCGCGCTCCGCAACGCCATTCCACTCATTTATGCAATGTGTACGACAATTAAGACGCAGTTTCGATCACAGAGACACCAAAACATAAACACCACAACACCGTTTACATTATTCACAAAATAGATCACTTCACACAGTTTTTGCAAGGGACGACATCATCCATCATTTTAATGGTCGACTGATCGTTAACGCCGTAAACGTAACGCTTCCATTCAACAAAGCGTCGTCGGCGATAAAACAAAAGAGAATGTTGTAATGTGCTCGATTCGAGTACGCGACGCTTGGTCGGTAACGTTATCTATATTTTGTTCCATTTGTTAGCGCGAACCAAATTATTGTAATGAATCGCCCGTAATTTGACAAAGATGGCTGTACGACGCGCTATAACAATAGCGAACGCGAGTGATTAACGAGTTACGAGACGAGGCGCGCGAGGCCGCGGTGTGAACGACACCTGGCTCTCGGAGGCCAGTTATGGATTTTGAACCAATCGCGACGTTAATTCGGACCGGTATGAAAACAAACATGTCCGATGTCGTTCGGTATGTCTTGCTTGCTCTATTAATGGATACATATCTACATGGAAGCGCCACTAGCTTTTCGCACTTCAAGAGTTTTTTTATCAATAAATTGTTACATGGCATCTATTGCGCGGTCGCTCTTTTGAGATGATTTCTCAATTCCTATTGGTTCAATAAAGTTAATTGGACGCGATAAACGTTAATCTCTTTTTTAAAATGTTTTGACGTTAAATCAAACCAGCTTCCTGCTCGATTAGTTGTATTTTTAAAAAATCTAAATATAAATAAACTCTCGTTTTTTTACAATCTAATGCGTGTTACACGTATGCGCTTATTGATAAACAGCGGCACCGAATTTGCTGAGCTGAATGCGATGAAACTTTTATCGAAAAAAAAATAAAAATGTACTTGGTTTTTTTGAAATAGCATTTATTATTATTATAAGACTCGTACTAACATAACATTTTATTTCAACAAGTTTTTATTAAAGCTTGTTCAATTTTTAATTATCACTAGTATATTCATTCTTATTTTTACTTCTTATCCCCCGTATACTGCAATCTATTACAGTTTTTAAGATCCTGATAATATGTATTATATTCATACTGCGTAAACACGTAGGTATAGAACTCGCACCCTCCTTACAATGAACCCCTAAACTCCACCGGTCGATCATGCGTAAAGGGCGCAGAAGGGATGCAAAGGGAAGAGCAATAGTAGGTACAATAACCCTTAGCTTAATACGAATTTATATGTATATGTTGTAATGCTTAAATAAATCTGCTTAATATTAATAACCTAGCAACTTCAAATAATATACTGACCTCTAGCGTGAGTTATGAGAACAAAAAGTTCCTTGCTGAAACGCTTCCTGAAATACATTTGGGAACGTATAGCATGTCCTCGAGCGAGACTCCGATCGAACTCAAACAATTCACAAACAGAACTATTTCTCACAGAAACATTACAACTTTTCACAACACACCATCACAGTTGTACATATTCTCAATGTTTACGATTGAAAAACGGTAATTCACGAGTAAATATTATTGTAAGTGTAATATTTACATCACAGGGATTGCACTGGTGTATGTGCGTGAAACTGTAGTAACAAGACTGCCGAAGACGCGCCGCGCATGCCGCGAGGGACTCGATTTAAATATAAAAATGGATAAACTCCCCTTCTTTGGCTCACCCGAGTGAATCACAGTAATGTACACAGCACCACTCCTCTAGTTTTCGACTATCACATTTGGGCGACGAGAAACCGCGCAGCTTGTAATTCAAAGTTTGTATCGCGAATGTTTCGCGTTTCAAATTTGAGCGGTATGTAAATACGACGCTAACTTCCGTGTGCCTTACAATATTATATTGATCGACGCGACGTACTCGCACTGTGGACATTTTCCTCTGGCTTAAAATCAGGATAATCGCTAAGATCAATGGCACACTATCCGTGTAGCCTAATGTGTGGTAAAGCAGGTAGACGTTTTTTGTATTATTTGGGTTGCAGGCTAGAGGTGGTAAAAAACTAATGACTCACACATTCGTACATCGTCGCCGAATTACATATTTGTTATTATTGCAAACTATTTACTTAGTAACCTTATTTAAAAACTAATATTGTTAAAAAACTACAAATGGGGGTATTTAACAAAAGAATCGGAATGTGTAGCTATAACACAAAAAGTAGGTAGATATTATAATTGTCAAATTTAAATCACTGCTGATGTTAAGGTCACCTTAAACGACTTAATAATACTTATTTTTGCAATGTTTTAAATCGCGTTTTATTTTTTATTTTCTTTAGTAATTGAACACACATGTTATTTTTGACAAAAAATAGTCACAATTTATTTGATTTATTTGTATATTTTTCGATATATATATAGTTTTAACATTGTCTTTGCCTTATGACAGGCGAACAATCCTTTCTTGGCTCATTGGTAAAATACATTACGATAAATGCAAGAAGTCCTAGTTTCGGATTCTGGTGAAACAAAAGGCTGATATATTGAAACAGATGTCTGGTAGTCTAGAAACGAATCTGTGTTTCCATTTAAACGTAATATTCTAGATTCTAGAAGCTATTTTGAATTAATATATGCGTTGCCTTCAAGCTTTCCTGGCTTCTCCATAAGTCATCGGTTTCTGTTTCTGATTAAAGGCAGATAATACATTTATAATACTCGGAACTATTTTAATAATAAAAAAATTGAATTTATCTAAGAATAATAAAATTAATGGCGATTTTTTTATTCTAGAGAATAGGTAATGACAGCTTTCTTAATAGACTGATCTTTATAAAGATTGCATTTTGTCATTAATGATATTATAATTATTATCATACCAAACCATATTAAAAAGTGATAAGAAAAATAAAATTGAACAGCGAACTCTTGTTCGCTGTTTAATTTTTATCAATCAGTTCATCGTCACAACACGACATTCGTTGAGTAAATTGGAATGGCTCCTGATGCGACACAAAAGAAGCCATGAGAAATGTTACAAAAGTGAGAGCCCCTCTATACTACCCATAAATATGTTACACCAATCTTTTCTTACGGTTCCCGTCACGTCGCGTCAATATGTATATATATCAGCCTTTATATGGATTTCCTGTATTTTAACCGCAAAATCATGCTTATAATCATTGCAATACTATAAAAATACAATACTATAAGACTTGATAGAACGTCAGAACGATGGTTTGATTAAAGTTTTTCAATATCCTTTCTATCGTGCTATTTTTATTTTAAATTATATTCTGTTTTTGGTGTGTCGGATATTGTTAATTGTCAAAATACTGTCATTGTCAAAACGGTAACCGTAATTCCTAATGTCAAATAATATTTTCGCGCCAATCCTACACACAAATTACAATCGCTATTGCATATTGGAAAGTTTAAAATTTCAGTTATTAGAAAAGCACACGTGTAGTTTTTTGAAGTTCCAATCCATTTCTTCTTTTATGTATTAATCGTTTCTTTAGTCAACTCGTTCTTTTAATACTTAATACTTTGAAAATATCCAAAATTTTAAAACAATTTTCAAGATTCTTTGTAACCATGCAACCTCAAGGTGCAGTAATTCTTAAGTTTACACGTCTATCTGAAAATGCATTCCCGCCAGTCAAAGGTTCTGAGAAGGCAGCCGGATACGACCTAAAAAGGTATAAATGCATCTTTTGTAATAGTTTAAGGGTATATGTGGTATAAAAAGCCTCTTTACACATACTCAAATAATACAAACTATATAATTAAGAAAAGTATATAAAATGAATGTTTCAGTGCCTATGACTATATTGTACCAGCTAGAGGCAAAGAACTAGTCAAGACTGATTTGCAAATTGAATTACCTTCTGAATGTTATGGCAGAGTTGCCCCTCGCTCAGGATTAGCTGTAAAAAACTTTATTGATGTTGGAGGTTTGTAAACTACACACTATATTATACATTTATATGTCCTAATATTTAACATCTTTTAACATTGTAGGAATCTTCACTCACACTGAACAATTTTATATTATTTGGGTGTGTGGGTCAATAATTTCAGCAGCAATTTGCTAAGAAAGAACAAAGTAAATAACCAAAAACCCTGTCTTGAATTCAAGAAATGTTGATACATTCTATATCAGTTTTATTTATTATCTTTTCTACGATACTTGGTCAATACATACTTAAAATATTTTTTCATAACACAATGAGGTGATCAGATATGAGTTACATTTAATTCATATTATTTCAGCTGGTGTCATAGATGAAGATTATAGGGGTAATGTTGGTGTGGTACTATTCAACCACTCAGATCAAGACTTCATTGTTAAGAAAGGTGATAGAATAGCTCAACTTATTTGTGAACGTGTATATTACCCTAAGTTAGTAGAAGTTTCTAACCTCACAGAAACAATTAGAGGTGATGGTGGTTTTGGATCAACAGGAACACAATAAATAAGATTTCATAGTTATTATAAGGATTTATTCTTAATAAACATATAAAAAAATATGTCTCTTTACTTTAAAGATAATTTACTTGAGTTCAAAATAATCCTTGATACTTAACATTTTTAAATTGTTAATAGAAACTGATGTCTCTGGTAAGGATAAATCTCTGCTTTTTCTTAAGAATGGTTTAAATAAGTTTTTCAACTTATTGTCAGTATTGATACTGAAATCACTTTCTGCCTTCTCAACTTTTCTTTCCAGTATCTCAACATTTGTATGGAGCTTTGAGATTACTTCACTTAAAGTCGCAATTTTCTTTGTCAATAATGTTATCTCATTTCTGTACTTACTGACATCATTTGTTACTGTGTAGCAACAGTCATTATTCTTAGTTTTTATTATGTGCAAAACACTTGTTAGTTCTTCAAGTCGGGTGATCATATTGTCAATAACATCTTGTACACTTTGTAAGTTACTTGTCAAATCCAAATTTAAATATGCAGCATAATCCTTAACTAACTCTTCAATCATTTTGAACACTTAAAATCATACACCAAAGTCAGGATATAAATATTCCAATAAACTGACTAATTTGTCTAAAACGTCTGTCACAGCTTTAGTTAAATTCTGAAAAGAAGATGGTATGTAATGTAAAAATATAATAAACAGTTCCATCGTACTTGTTAAGCACGGTAACAGACAAGAAGACGGACTTTCAACGTTTACCTTTTCCAATTGCGACATCAATTTTGCAATAATGCTTCGACTTGGATAACCATGACATGGATTGCAATCCATGTTATGAACCTAGGTAATCAGTGGGAGCATGTGTGATTAGAGCCCTTATAAGTGCTGCCAGGTTAAAACTGTAAAAAGACATCTGAATAGAGAAAAAAATTCAGCTTTAAGTGATTTTTATATAACTTACTTTTATTGAATTTAAACTTATTCATCGTATACAAAAAGTATTTTTGTTAGTTTTATATACTGCCGTATACTATACATTTCTACTTATATGCCGTATACGTGTTCACTATAAAAATGACTATAAATGCATAACTGGCCACACTAGATTATAACTGAGAACTAAAGAATATTAAACAGTGGTGCTCATCACAGACAATTGTAATCGTGGATATAATTATTAATTATTCTAAATTACCCGATTATTGAGATACCATTCAGTTTGTAAATCTTGTTGCTAGATATTTCAAGAAATACACGTTTGTTAACGATATTTATCATTCGATTATCTGTAGCTTACAGATATATAAACTACTACTTTTGTGGTTAATTCTTTGTTTTTGATTTTATTGCAATTAATGTCATATGTCAACTGTTCTTAAAGTTTACAATTTTGTTATAGACTATACACACATATTCATTATTTTCATTAATTCCGGATTATTTTTAGAGTTTAACTGCTGTTTTAACTATATTAAATCTAAATATATAATAATGAATATAAAAAAATCAAGATTATGCTGAATATGTAAAGTAATTCTTGATACATCTTTTATGACTGAGAACTAAACTATTATGTTACCTTCAACAGGATACTTTAATGGAATTAATTGTCCTTTTTACGACACCGGCCTATGTGACCGACCTTACTGTCATTTTCGCCATGTTAAAAAGGAACTCAACGGCGATAGTATTGAAACGGGAGAAATATTACAAAAATTGGTATCAGCAGCAGTACAAAAAGTGCTTAGACAGAACGAGGCGACAGAAGTGCCTTCTACTTCTCAGAGTGCACCCCAAAATGGCCCCAACAATACACAAGTAGGTTCAATGCCTTTAAAGGTTACATATAGTCCAACACCAATAGCTGAATTAAATAAAATAAATTCAGAAACAATTGTGGATGAAGTTGTGAAACGTAGACATATACCCGTGCCATATACACCTCGCAAACCTGCAACAACTCCAATTAAAAGGCCTATTGATACAAATGGTTCTAAGTTATATGTTGCACCTATACTCCAATATACACCTGGTGCAGAAAGTACTCAACAAGATCCTTATACTCCCAAAGGTGCTATTGAATCCAATGAAAAGTATTTGCCAGGAACTGAAGCTAAGGTTCAAGAATACTTACCAAGTGAAGAACAAGAATTACAAAATTCAACTAAACACAATTATATACCCTCCGACAAATATACTTCTGAAAGTAAGATTATAGAATATAAGCCAACAAATGTTGCAAAAAAAAACGACATACACTCTGTTAAATATCGACCTACTCCAAAGTCCTTAGTACCATGTTTCTCCAGCGATGAAGAAGAACCTCAAACAAAAAAACCAAAAGTAGCAGAAAATTTAGATAATTTTGATGACCTAGGGCCTGAATTTGATATACTAGACCAAATACTTGATGAAGAAAATAAAACTGATGATATAAAGAATAAAGAGGTGCAAAAAAATTCAAGTAGAAATAATAAAAAAGAATTAAAAACTAAGACTGATAGTAATGAAAATGAGAAAGTGAAAAAGAATCCAAAACACAATGAAATTAAGAAGCCCAAGGAGTCCCATAGTAAATCAAGTCACAAGAAAAGTCATGCTTTTAAAAGCATAGGAGATAAGGATGAATCTAGAAAGTCACATTCTAGTTCTAGGTCATCTAAATCTAAGTCATCTGAGAAACATACAAAATCATCTTCATCAGAAAAATCTAGGCATTCAAAGAGTTCATCATCCCGACATAAAGAGAAAGACAGAAAAACATCTAGCGAGAGTAAAGACACTAAGAAAAGTAATGAGAAACGTCATAAGTCACATAAGAGATCAAAAGAGTCCCAGGACAAGAAAAGTAAGAAAAAGAAACGAGACAGATCTCCCTCTAAGAGTCCTGATAGTATTAGTAATAATATTTCTGATGATTTAGAGATTCTAGAAAGTGAGATTATGTCAGAATCTGATGAAGAGGCCATTCAAGAGGAATGCAAGAGAATTTTTGAAGAATATGTGCCACAAGCTAGATCACAAATTGAAGAGAAGGACGTTAATACAAATAAACAAGAAGATTCTGATGAGGCTGAAAAGTATATACCCACAAAGAAAAGAATTTCTAGAACAGTTGACAAGAATATAAAAATTATAACTAAACCACCAATTAAACCAGATTTCAAAATCAATGCTGCTCAAGCTATGGCAGAGAGGCTTGCTAAAATAAAGCAGTTTCATGCCTCTAAAACAAAGCAAGGTAGTGTTGAAAATTTGAATTTATTTACTAAACCAGAGGTAGCTAAAGCCTTGCCTCCTTCCACTAGTTCCAAAGTGCGCATTGCTCATGTACCTTATGCATCAACTTTAATAACTGCCAAAAAGTCAATTAATACACCTGTCATAAATAAGGCTAAAGTCTTACCTTCCACTAGTTTTACATCAATACAAACAGTGAAAAAAGGTGAACAAAGAGTAGCACATGTACCTAATGAAAAGTTTATTGATAGGCCTGGAGTTCTAGAGCCACTGGGATCAAAAATTGCAGCAAATGTTCGATCTACATACTTAAATTTAATGATAGATCAGTGTTTAAAAATATATTTGTCTGCAACTGATGCCTATGCAAGAGCACAACATGAAGAGCTAACCACTAGTAAAAAATGTAATACTGTTCCTATATACAAAAACTCTGCAGTATTAGCTATAAGCAGGTTAAAAAAAGAGCTGCATGAATGCAATGGTGTTAAAAAATCTGGAGTAGAATGTCCTGGCTTACAGAAGGTGCACAATTCTAAAATAGATACAAACTCTCTGGGTTCATGGAGTATAGAGAGCCGAAGCAAGAAAATTTATGATAGTATTGATCAATATACAGGGGCTAAATTTTATAGCAATATTAAAAAGTGGATATTAACAGAAGAGCAATTACAGGAAAATGGTTTTCCAAGGCCTCATAGCAGCGGGGAAAAGGGAAGAGCAATTATATATGGGCAAAATAAACAGAAACCACCTAAAGGTTATATAAGAACTTGTTGCAGATGTAAAAAGGATTACACTATAAATAAAAAGGGCTTTCCAATTGTGAAAGAAGAATGTGTCTATCATCCCAATAATAAATATAGGATTCGAGGTGAGGTCAAATATCAATGTTGTAGTCAAGATGGAACTTCAGATGGGTGTTGTGTAGCAGAAAGCCATGTTTATGAATATGTTGATTTTAATAACTTAAAAGGTTTTGTAAAAACTCTGCCACCAGAAAAGGAAATGGAGGATTATGGTGTTTACTCATTAGATTGTGAAATGTGTTACACCACCCATGGTTTAGACTTGACCAGAGTGACTGTTATTAATTCTGCTTGCAAAGTAATATATGAAACTCTCATTAAACCGCTGCACCCAATAATAGATTACAATACTAGGTATTCTGGCATCACAGAAGAACAAATGTCTCAAGTTAAGACAACATTGTTGGAAGTGCAAGCCACTTTGCTAACAATGTTTAATAGCAAGACAATTTTAATAGGGCATAGTTTAGAGTCTGACTTCAAAGCGCTTAAATTAATACATGACACAGTGATAGATACAAGTGTAATATTTCCCCACAAAATGGGACCTCCCTTCAAAAGGGCACTGAGAAACTTATCTTCAGAATATTTAAAAAAAATTATTCAAAACTCTGTTGATGGCCATGACAGTGCTGAAGATGCAACAGTTTGTATGGAACTGATACATTATAAGTTAAAGGAAGATCTTAAAACTAGGTGATAATAAATCATCCACCTGTCACTTTTCAGTGTGTATTTTATGTAAATTGTATAACCAGCAATAACAAAAAACAGGTGGTAATCTGATTTCAATAAATTAAACTATTATCATCCTTTGTTTTAAGAAAATTTGTTGAATAGAATAATGTCCAAGAATAATTGAGTTTCATAGAAAATAATTATTTAAATAGGCATATTTATTGAAGCAATACATTACCAATATAATGTGAATGTATATGGGTAGGATATACCTTATGTTAAGGAATTTTTTTGTATAAAATATTTTTATAACATAGGTAATTTGTTTTATTTTATAACTTATATCCTTAGACATTCAAAGAACTTTTTTAAAGATGAGGAAAACAGGCGAAGTTATGTTCTTCTTTAAAATTTTGACTTTCCACTATAATTAATATATAGTTACTACTGAATTATAGTGATAGTAAATGCCAAATATATAGCAGGGTTACATTATATGTACAATGGATGTGTATATGCAGAAAGCTTAATTATAGTATACCTCACTTCTGAAGAAACAAATTTTGTTCCTAAGGAAATATTTCAGATACAAATAACAATAAAATGCAGAAAATAAATAATAAGAGTGTATTTAGTAAATGTAAACAATATAAAACACTTGTACTCAGTTCAGTAAACATAGAAAAGAAAATCCAACTTGAGAAATTTATATTATTAAATTTATTGCAATTCAACAATTTATATTTTATACAAGTGATAAAAATGAACATTACTATTTGAAATAAAAACTGATGAATGGCGATTATTAAGAAACAATTTCAAAACTTCTATAAGACTGGCAAATTGTGTGAAATAAATATTAGTGCATAGCTTTAATACCTGTTCTGATTATGTTATATTTGTTTAAATGTAGATGAAAAACAAATGCTACAACTTCAAAACTGATTTCTATTCCTTGTCTGTGTAATTGCTATATCCTTATAATGGTTACATATTTGCATTATTATATCTATGTCAACTACAATGAGAATAATTTCAGTATTGTAATACAATGCTATTTTTTCATGACTACATTAACATTTTTGGAAACTAACTTATTTACTGAAAAAACGTAATGTATCCACCAAGGCTAAGATGGCAGCAATAGTACATTCGGTAATGTAATGGTAATTATGTTTCACTTTTGCCCCAATGAATAACTTTTTCAGCCCATATTTTGTAGAGCATTTTTATTATTTAAAATGGGTGGCCAAGCTCCCATTTAAGCCTTGTTAATCAATAAATGATTGTTCTACACACGCTTTCACTCGCTTTTCATACTCTCGTCGGTTTTCCTTGTACAGTTGAGCTGCCATTGAATTTGCTGGTGAATTAGGATTGGGGTCACTTAATAATGACTGAAAATAAAACAAATAAATTATAAGTAAATACTGTACATCACAAACATTCTCCACATGCATTTTAATGTTTCATGAGCATAGCTGTAATAATTACCTGTATAGATGTTAAAATAGCAGATACATCATAGGTAGGACTCCACCTATTTTGCAAGATGTCTAAACATATTCCGCCATCTGCATAAACATTTGGATGAAACATTTTAGATACAAAACGGACTGTAGGAGGTTTGTTTGGGTACTCCTCAGTAAACTCAATAGTAAGTTTAAATGTCCCATCCTCAAATGGAGTATCATGAGGTCCAAAAATCACAGCATTCCAGATCATAATATTATTGTCAGTAGGTGCTCCCGAAACTCCTGTTGGTGGGTCTTCTTGAAGGCTGAAATTAAAGGTTTTTTAAAGCCCATTCCAGCACTATGTTTTGTATATTTACTACATATGAATAAAAACTGTTAAGTCATGAAATAGCTCCACGGCTTTCACGCGTTTGCGTTTGAAATAAAAGTAGGTCACCACACTGTAATTGAAGCATATAAGAAATTTTTCACTATAACTGTTTCTCTTAACTATTTCTATAAAACAAAACACATAAAAGGCATATACAAAGACGGATGACGCATCATTCCTATTATAGCACAAGTCTTTAAGTGTAAAAATAAAGAGATTCTACAAAAATCGATTGTGTATGCCGAATTTATAGAAAACTGTAATTATAAGGTACAAACAAAACAACAAACGTTAATATAATATTCAATGTCTTAAAATTATTCTGAGTAGAATAGCATCGCCTATAAAAATTATTCAAACCGTTTGAAATCTCTCATCAGACGTCGTCGAGCAGGAGTTGACATTTTGATTCCACAAATTCAATAAATCCACTTCACAGATCTTGCTTTTCTATCGGGATAAACGATTTTTGTTATTCCTATTAAACACTAATAACCTGTATTTATTATTCTAACTGTTTGTTGTTTAAGATTTTCTCGTCACCTCCGAAGAAAAGGTGTCAAAGTGACCATGAATTCAACAAAAAAATGAGCTATGCATTACAATTCCATTCCCAATAGCGTGACAGCGCTTTGTTAATTGTTACGTATTACTGTCAGGAAAACTGTCACTGTCATTATTTATACAAAAACACAATACTGACCGATGCTACAAAGTAGGCATTTTAACTTTATAATTTTTAACTCGATATCAGTTACTTATAGTAATATATTGATATTAGATATGATATGATATCAGTATTAGAAAGCCAATACGAAACAGAGACTAAATAAATGTGTATTTTGATTAATCTTTAAAATCTACAGGATAAAACTATTATAATCTCTGATATTTATATGTTGTTGTGTAGCCTCTATGGTTTTGCCAATATAAAAGTATTCAGGTCAAGAAATCCATTAAAAAAAAATTAATAAGTCCATTTCATTATACATAATAAATCTCATAACAATGTTTTGAACCCTTATGTTATTATTTATTATAGTAAGATCGTGAATTTTACAAATTTTAATCAACAACAAAGTTTTACTAGCTAATAAAAGTGACATACATACAAAAGCAAACATGAATGAGCAGAGTTCTAAGAAAATCACTTTTAGTAAATCAACTGTGAGTTTTCTTTTAAATGTCTTCATCATAGTTAAATAAATCACAACACTCTGAATTTTGTGTTTATTAATTACAGCTATTTAGTTTAAAGGCTGAGTTGCTTCGAAAACAAGAAGAAGTCTTAAAAAAGAAAGATTTACCGCAGCACAAATTAGAAAATTTTACTCCAGCTAAAGCCACAGATAAGAACAAGCATGAAAATTCTGAACTTGCTCCAAAACAATTAAAAGATAAACTTAAAGCTGTAGATATTGATGAACTGGAGGCACTCCGTAAATCTAAGTATGTTTTAATGTTCTTTCTAACCCAGTATCAAAAAGCAATGCTGTTACCTCCCGGTTGTTTATTTGTACACATGCCCTCAATAACAAAAGCTCAAGAAGGGGAATATTAAAAAAAAATATATTAAGTGTTTAATATAAACAAACACTTAATAATTTTGTATTAGTCTTTGGTCATACCTAACATTATTTTTTTATTTCACAGATCTGCACTAGAAAAGAAAGCAGAATTATATAAGCACTTAAGTGATGGTGCTGGCCAGTCAGAACTAACTGATCGCTTCCTAGTAGACTTTAAGGAGAAAAAAGAAAAAGGAGAATCAAAGCTAGTTTCAGATCAAAGAAACATTGTACCAAATGTTGTTCCCATTACAAATAATGAAGATTCAGGGGAATGGTAAAATATTTTTTAATAAAGTATCAAATAAGTAAGAAGATGATTAGCTATAATAACCATATTTATTTTACAGGGTAGTATTTACAGATTGTCTTGGTAGATCGAGGAAATGTCTCCAATCAGACCTAGAGTTATATAGACAAAGAGACAAAGAACTTATGAGATTATTGCCTGGTTATGAGGATGAGGAGAAAGGTGAAAGTGAACAGTCTGTAAGTTTCTATATGATCACAATTAATGTGGTGATTTTTTAATATATACACCCCAAGGAATAAAAATTGCATCTATATATCTTCATAGAAAATTTGTGTTTATTTATAAAACATAAAGGCTTTAGATACAAAGATTACCAGTATAATATTGTAAAAAAATTGTTTTCATAACAATCACTTATTTTATTTTTAAGTTAAAAGCATAGCATGTTCATGCATATTTATTGTGCTAGTGTAGTACATACTTCAGTTGGCTTGTACAAGAGCACTGAATGCTAACATGTGCCACCCATTTTCTCGAATTTAAACAAGTAGCCTTTTATTTTAAAAAATACATTTTATAAAAAAAAATTATGATCTACTTATAGAGTTCATCAAAAGAACAGCCGTTTTTGGTGCAGAAAACTAAAGATTATCTCCAGTCATTGAGACAAAAATGGGAAGAGAAAGAAAAGGAACTCCTTGCAAAGGATAAAGATATTCATTATCAAGATGTTCTTTTTGATGGTAAGTATATACATTATTTTTAAAACATTCTCACCCATAATTTCTAGTAAGTCTAGACCTACAGACACTATTAATTGTATAACAGAAAGTAAATCCGTTATTTCCCTCATTTAATAAGTTGCAAACATTATAAACAATATTAATTTTTCTTGAGTCTATAAATATAAAATAAACGTATTTTATGTATAAAAATAATATTTTATTACGTTTTAGAGGCAAGAATGCATGGTGTTGGATATTACTCATTTAGCACAGATGAGGCGGAGCGTAAAAAGCAGATGGAGGATTTATTAAAAGAGCGAGAGAAAACACTCAAAGCTCAAAAACATGCTGAAGAGATCAGGAAAAAACGAGACGAGCTGGTAGCAGCTAGAGTAGCAGCTGCAAAGGCAAGGCAGAGGATGAGAGCTGGTTTGCCACCAGAAGATCCTGAAGGTATGTATTTAGAGTGCGATTCTTAAAGAAATGATTTTAGATATTTATTACTTTAAGAATGAAAAACCCATAATTACTCAATCAAAATCAAAATAAAAATTCGTTTGGTAATTCATAATTTTTGAAGCTGATGGTGTTATTGCTAATTTAATTGTGCTTTTTTAGAAAAGAAAAACGAATTTACGAAATGTTTACTGGAATTCTTAAATGAAAAGAAAAATGAAGCGGACACAAAAGCCAAAGAAGAAGAGAAGAGATTAAAAGAAGAACGTGAGAAAGAAAGGCAAAAGGAGCGAGAGGCTTATATCCGAGAGTGGGATGTGGGTAAAGAAGGCGTTGAGGGCAAAGTTAAGAAATTCCGCGAACTAACTCAAGAGGAATATGTCGAACAACAAAGATCGAAACGAATCAACGAATTCGCGCCCTTAGAAGCACTAGATTCTAGAAAATCTAACTTAACATTTGACCAGCGTGGACATAAAATTGTAGCTGAGACATCCTTTGAAAAAACAGTAAATAAAACATGGGACGATGTCAGAAAAAGTATTGCTAACCAAGGGAGAGAAGTAACACCTCCTCCTCCTACAATAGGTGAAATAAATGAACAAAAAGGACTCTTTTTCACATCGAAAAAACATGATAAATCTATTAAATATAAGAACTTTGTAAAGGCAGATGAACCTACTCCAATACAAAATGAATTGAGTGATGAAGACGAGGACATAAGACGACCCAGTAAAAGAAAAAATGAAAATAACGCAGAGATACCTCCACCACCTACTTATGAATATTATGGACCTGTGCCTAAAACATCCAAATCAAAAACACCATTTAATTCAGATATAAGAGAGGCGTTTGCGCAGGGAACAAAGAGTTTAGAATCTAAATCGAATGGAATACACCTATCAAGTCACTACGACTTTACTTTTGATTAACCTGTAATATAAGAAAATAAAAACCGAAAAATTAATAAGACTATTATTTATTTTCATAAATACATTACCGTGATTGCAAAATGTAAAACATTTGTATACATTTACCTAATCTAATATCACAACACGATGCTTTATGATTTGATTGTAGGTGAGATCATAATTGACTAAACGTTCAAACTATTGAAAAGGAAGGGATAATCTCTAAATCTGGGCACAGACAAAAAATGTAAAAGCAAAAAGTATTTTAGAATTGAGATTGATATATGTGCCTTGGTTTTTACGTGATATTGGTGATTCTGTAGTGGTGTCGTCAAGTGCAGTAGTTGTGTTGGGCTCGGCTTGAAGTGTGCTCTCTTCAACATTTTCTTTTACGTCATCCGAACTTGCGTTTTGTTGCAACGCTTCGGGGGTAGGCAGTTCTTTGTTGGGTATAATTAAATTCTCTGTCATAGGTTTCTCAATGTTAACGTTTGATATCTCTACAACTGTCGACTCCAACATGTAAGGAGTCGTTCCCATTTGTAAAGCTTCTTTTAAATTTTCATGTTTGTCAGTTGCTTTATCATCTAATATATTAATTGTTGTATCTTTTACGTCTGTGATTTGATTTTCTGGGTTATCTGTTACCAATGATGCATCCGGTCTTTCGGTTGGTGGCTCATTTTTATTCATAAGCGTTTGATTTAGAGTGTTAATTTGAATGGAGGATGAATTAGGATCAACCATAGCCATTTTCTTGTCTTCAGTCTGGATAGGTCTAGGAAGTGGTTCTTTTATGCTTTTCTTTGTCCTTTTCTTTTGGGGCTTTTGAGTTTTAGCCATCAGTTCGGCGAAAGCCTGTTCTTCGCGATCGGAATTTTGTCCGTTGCAAAGGTCCCCTTTACAAGGACATGTCATCTTCCACGTTTTCGTTGTATTGCAGAAATCTAAGTAACATTCGTCTTGGTAGATTTTGACGCAGTATCTTGACTCGACATATGCTGTTAACGGAAAGTAAATAATGTTTGTAATATATTTATACAAATTAACTACATATTGTTGTAGGATATATAGTATTTATCCAATTTAAAGTTAAGTATACGCGGTCCGTAGATTTTTAGCCTGTAGCCTGTACATAAACATAATATATCGTAGAATATCGGGAAGCGAATCCAAAACCATTGTATTAATTTTCTTAGGAAACTAAACAGTCCTGTTCTCTTATGATAAGTTAAAACTAATATTCTTATTATCTAGGGAATTTTTTAATGCAATTAAAATGCGTAGATTTCTTTGTTAAAAATTACAATTAAAATCTATTTAAGAGCAGTTATCGAAAATCCAAAACAACCCTTTTTCAGAAAGTGGTTGTAAATTGTTATTAATTTCCATCTATGTGACCATTTGTGATTCGCTTACGAGGTGCGGTAGCGACAACGGCACAATGCGGAAGGCCTGGGTCACATATCGTAACGTGAGCCTTCGGGGCGTCGCAAGGGGGCGCTCTTCGGCTTCGGTGGACCTGCTCCGCCAGAGGGCCACACCAGTAGCACTGCCGTGCGCTCTCAGCACTCGCGACGTCTGCAAAGAAAACTGCAAATTGATGAAAATATGTGATCGAAGTGTTATACATATTTGTAATAGCGTAAAACATTCATTTTATTTACTAACTGAACTCACAGATATTTCTTTTTTTTTACTTTTCTATATCTCTGAAATATCGCATTATAGAATGGACCTAGTACATTGTATGAACATTTTATTTTGCACGACGATATCAAAGTTAGTCCATTCGAATTTAGATTGAAATACTTAGTCTCTAAAACAATGTTCGGTCTGCGGGGAAATTTAGGAACGCAATTAATTCAAAATGTAAACATGGTTTATAATTGAGTGAGTTATATTAGGCGAAATGTGTATAACTTATAATAAGTTAAACGCATGGTAAACTCTTTTCAAGCAGGAGAGGCCTGGAATCGAAAGAGAGCGAGATAGTCTGTTTTGATAAAAATTAGTTAATGTAAATAAAATCGATGAGTAAAAGGACATAGAAACGTGTCTGCCTTGTGTAGTGTAGGGGAAACGGAATTGCGCTTTTTTATAATAAGAACTTGCCGAAGTAGGTACAACCACGACGTGACTTTAAAAGTTAAAATCGGAGTTCTAAAGATACTTTTCAAGTATAAAGTAAGCGTAGATTGAAAACTTCTACTTTATATTGTTGCTCAGTTTTATGAGAATAATAACGGTGATATAATTTATGAAGCAGCTTTGCTTCAGAAGAAACGGAACTCTAACTTGTAGTTTGAAATGAAAATAAAACACATTTATCTGTTTTTTTCTGTAAACGAAATACGATTCGGAATTAAAAGGTAACTTTCTCTTAATTGCGAGTGCTATATTTATTTCTGATTGGTATTTCTTTTATTAATTTTCTTGAAATCAATCAGGTTTCGATGGTAATTAAGTACCTAATATATGGTCGTCATTTATCTCTTGTTTTGATTATTTTGGGCGTAAACGCGAGTGATTCACAATGAATAAAACACGTCGTACAACGGTCGTTATAAAAAAATAAACAAATATAATATGTATATATTTCTGGTTTAATGCGTATAAAACGATTTGGTGCCTCATAATAAAAAATAAAATAAAAATATATGAAATAAAATATACTTTATTGTTTTTAAACTTTATTTAGATTCGTTATTTTTTTTTGTTTGTCTGTCTGTTTGTCGTGATTCTACAGAGTGTTCAAAAGAGCAACATAACTGAGAAGAACACCCAAGAAACTCAGTACGGCTTTTTTCAACATGTCTTATAAAGTAATACATTGTGAATTTATTAACCTAAGGAGCAATTCATATCACTGCCAAGCCATAATTATAATATAAGTATGTCTTATAAGACATATGTATTTTTGTAATTATAAAATGTATGTAATTATATATAGTAAATTAAAATATCACACTTATGTTAACAAAGTATTATAATCTAAAGAATACACTTTCTGTCTTTTTAGACCATTGTTAAAAAAGGTTTTAATTCGCACCTATAAGGTGATAAAGAATACAGACGACTTAAAATATAACAGACAGCGTATTGATTTTATTGAATGGAACAATACAACAATAGGTTCTTTTGCTCCGATATACGTAACAGGTTTCTTGGTAAATGTCCTTTATTTAGATAAACAATGCCGCTTTGAACAAATAATGTTTAGTCATTGCCAAATTATCTATACAACAAAACTAAAATCCTACTTATAGGTATGTATGTAATTTGCAGAATGACTAATATAAAAGAGTTGATGTTAAAGATTAACTTGTTTTGGTTGTCAAACTATTATTAATAAACGTAGCAATAATCAGAAAAACTAATTTGAGAAAGAAAGATTTAAAAAATATGAACAACACTGCGTAACCTAAAATAACATTCCGAGCTCTTTCGGTCTTACAGGGCTTTATTATAGCCTCTGCTCTAACCAACATTAAAAATAATTTTTTCAATTCGAACCCATAGTTCTTGAGATTAGCGCGTTCAAACAAAAAAACAAACTCTTCAGCTTTATATATAAGTATAGATATAGATTATGCATTCTCAAAGTCTTTATTTATTCCCTATTACTATACATTATGACTTCAAAGAAAATATTCCATGCATTTTACTTACTATAACATTGTCTAGCGAGCTTTTTTATTTCATCCAAATCAATAATATCTCCAAGGTTGTCGCAATGCATAACAGATAATACGATAAAATAATTGGATGAAAATGTGTCTAGGTATTAGATAACATATGTATTTATTTTAATCCACTAATGTACGTTGTCGGTTTAACCCGCTGATCCTCCGAGCACATGTATAATCCTCTCTGTCAGATATATAATTAATCATCGTAATTCAAGTCTGTATTCCCACGACACGAGATCGTGAGACAACACTATGAATATTCGTTAGTAGTAGTAAATAAGAGGAATTTTGAAGGCACAGGAACAAGACGGGCTTGTTGGTGTAATGGTAGTATTGCATGGCTAAAGTTCAACGGGTCGGGGGATCGATCCCCACCGGGTCCAAAATTTTTGTAATCGAACTGAAACGTGTTGGACGGCTGAAAATCTGGATATTCGAAGTTCGGGTACGAAGCACCGTCCACAGATGAAAAAGCCGTCAAGTTTAATAATGGGTCCTGTTGGCGTTTCGATTCAGTTTGTAAGTCCCAGTCGTACATTAACTAAACATTTTGTAGGGCTGGGACAGAATACGGTGTCTTACTTTTTTGGCTTTTTAAAATCGGATATAAATAGACCGAGATCACAATTTACACTTCAGCGATTTTAGTTTTGTCGTCGATATTCGAATTTACTACTCCTTATTAGCCAATCCTTGCTTACATTATATGTAGACGGTATGATGGCTTAAGTTAACACTGCAGCTATTTGTTTTACTTAAACAAAGCTTTGCCTAGGTTTTAACATCTTTCATCTCTTTAAAGTATTTTTGAAAATAGCTTAAGCCACTTATAAAATTTACGGACATCCGTTAGATTACGATTGGAGATCAAATACTACGCGTTTAATAAAAGTACAATTTAGAGTTTTATTACACAAAAAATATTTAGTTGTTTGTACAAACTTACAATCACTATAAAATATGTCAGAATATAATATTATTTAATTACGAGCATTTTATTACAAAGTGGAAATTCTTAGGAACGTTTAACAATTGAGGGAGTATACTATTGCGATACTCTACAAGTGAAGTTGAGACAACTTTGTCGTGTGAATGTTTTATTGAGCGTGTTCCGGGGCTCCTACAAATAGCAAACGAGAAACAATTTACAACTCGTAAAACGTTGTTCGCGGCAGCTTTTGTTAGAAAACTGCATTTAAGGGAATTAACGATAACGGCGCTATTACATATGCAAGACATATTTGTTCCGCTGTCTACATTTGTCAATACGATGTGTTATATAATTTTTAATATAAACTGTGATGGAAGCTTTCAAAAAGTAATGTACCTCTTTAGGGTACCGTAACTAAAGACAAATACACTGTTTATTCGGCCCGACGTTTCAGATGTGACCACGGCTGCTGCAAAGCATCCGAAACGTCGGGCCAAAGTTAAAAATCATTTTCATTTGTCAAGATTTTTAACTTGAAGTTTAACTAATATATCGCGTTTTGAACCGTTAAAGTGTTTTATTTAGATAATAATAAAATTGCCTCGATATATCTATGTCACCTAAGTATCGATTACCCCACTTACAACCGTTCGTTATTCGTTTAATTAATTCCTGATCCATGGGAAACGTGTCATGTTACTTCATGGCCAAAGAATTGTGTACTGAGAAAGTTTTGGTATAGCACAGATGGGGGTTTTTAACATTTGATATATATGTACTTTCTATATTTTTATGTAGCAAAAGTTCCTGGGTTAGGAATCAAGAATTTAGCTTTGTGCTTAGCTTGACCGAAACTACATATAACATTGTCGGAATACGAACCGAATGAGCAATGAGCTTAGCCAAGAAGTCACATTAATCTCAGAATCTCATCATGTATTAATTTCCTGTAAGAAATTGGTTACTATATTCGTTTACTTCTACTTTTTGTGAGCAGTGAGCTGTATTGTATATTTGTGACACGGAATTTTCTAAAAATACACTATTTTAATTGAATAAAACAATACCGCCGCGCTATCCTCTTCAAAATCTATCGAAGTTCGGAAACATTAATCAAATTTCGATATAAACGAACCGAACTAGAATAAAAATTCACCAAACAATGTTGATAAATTTTCAAAGGTTCTTTTTAACTAAATTTAGAATTTTATAGCATACAACAGGTTAGTAGTGGGAAATTTGGAATTGATTTGACTTTATTTAAATAAAACGACCGTTGATTTGGAAGAAATTACATTTTAAAATGGAGATGCGATTTATATTCAGTAGTAAAAAACAGATTCGCTAATAGCGACTTATCTATAACAAAAGAAATATTATTCATTTACAAGAATACTCACCACTTAACAAAATGAGAGCCGCAACGCTCAGCGAAATTGCCGTCGACATTGAAGCGTAAAACTTTCTTCCCGCCATCTGAGGTCCATCCGAGAAAATGAAACATGAAAAATATATTACACTTTACCAATTCAGAGAAACATTACCGCATCAATGGTGGACCATTTGTTTGTACCTTAGCGATGTTTCTCCATTAATGTTGGTGACACTGGAAGGTCGTGCGCACGGTTGGTGTCTACACGCTTACTGCAAGAATCGTAGCGCGTAGCAATGACGTAGATGTGTACGGTGACAATTTGAGGCCGGGTTGTTTCAACTATACGTGATGTTAAGAATGGCAGTTAACAAGCAACAGTGTTTTATAGAAATGGCGGCCAGGGTGAGAAATTACTCTTCATTATCTCTTATATTTCACAGAGAAATGAAATTATTTTGCTTATAAGTCAACTGTAATAAGCAATCTGTTAATAAAACAAGCCTAAAAACACATAAAAGAAGAAATATACTTAGTTTGTTTTGTATAGAATGGTTTGTCGGATTCGTGCGGTGGATCCTCACCGGGTTCATCAAATTTCTAATAAATTTATGATTTCTCTGAAACGTGTCGGTCTTTCTCTGGAAATCTGGATATTAAGTGGGTGATAGGAATATGGAACTTCCGTCCGGGTCACGAACCACCGTCCATGATAAAGTAAGTCAAGTTTAATCGCGTTTTGGTTTCAGTCTGTGGATTTCTGATTATTTCATCATCTTATCTACCCTTTATCATGAAAAAATAAATTATAAAAAAAGGTTTGTCTGTATTTTCTATGTAATTTAAATAATTTATTAAAACAAGTTTCAGAAACATATATATTGTAATCAATCGTTCTAATATTAATTCTCCGTATGTTGCTTTTGCGCTTATATTTCGTTGCGAATAAAATGAAGAAAAAATGATTATAACATTGAGTTAGAGTTCTTGAATTCTAATCCCTGGCAAAAATGTTAAAGTGCTACAAACAAACTCTTTGTCTGTTTTTATTAACCAACTGTTTTATGCATGAAGTCGAATTAATTTCAGACACCAATCACTTTGTAATGTACGAATGTGATTGAATACAGAAAACTCGCCAATTTTAAAATAATGTAAACATGTTTCAATTACAGAGAGTTTTAAAAGCTGTGACGCGACCGGGAAGTAATGCGATTTCGGTTAGGTTTATATGAGCCGCCGAAATAGCCGTTTGTATTAGGTATTTGGCTGGATATTGTGGTCGTGTGGGAGGCATTGTGAGAGATGTAGGTCATCAGTGCATCGCCGTGTACAGCCTGCATTGCGGTGCCCGATGCTCCACTACAATCACTCTTGTTGATAGACCTCTAAAACAATTTGAAAAGCCCATCTTGTGTCGATTGATTCGCTCTGAATTGATATACGAATTATTTTTTTATTACTCCTCATATACCAGTATTAAAAGCGGCCACAAAAAGTATTTTTTTATTTTAAAAGTAGATTACAAATTAACTGGATTACGTGTATTAAAAAAGTTTGACTTACATTTTAATTTCGTTACGCATTGGAATTTCTAGCGTGTCACTAATTGCTGTATTATGATTCATATAAACCTATGTTTGAATTTAATGGATACGTATCATTATTGATGTTGATTCTTATCGAAATTAATACTATACCACAATTTACTACTTTGTGAAGTCTGTAAAAATGTTTTATATGTGCGTATGTTTTTTATAGTCCTATTTTACTCAAGTTTTCTCAAATTTACACTCAAATGAAAAAAAGAGTCGAAGAGAATACAAATTACATTTTGTTGTTTAACAATAACAAAAATAAATTATGTAAGGGAAAATATTGGTGCATTAAAAAATCGTAATCAAATTTTTTTATAATGCAAAATTATTGTGTAATATATGTGTAAACATTTTTACTTTCACCTATAAAGGTTATTGTATCAATAACCAAACATTATTGCGTATAATTTACCTTTAATTAATTAAATTAAATTTATTTTTTGATATGTTTCAAACGCTTTTTAGATTCAGTATATCCAATATATGTACTCAGTACAGTAATTTAATTTATACAAAAAATCTAAATGTATGTTATTTCTACAAAAATTCAAAATATATTATGTTATTTCTCTAAAAAATTTAAACATTATGTTATTTCTACAAAAAATATAAATATATTTTTTCTACAAAAAAAATATTATTTGTTATGTCTACAAAAATTCAAAATACATTATATTATTTCTACAAAAATTCCAAATACATTTATTTCGCTACCCGAATCCAAAGACATCTGTGTTTTAATTTAAATTGCTGTGTCATGTTTCTAACAGCTAACACTGACAGAGAAAAATTAAACATGGAACGCGTTGAGTTTACAAAATTGGCGGGAACAAAATACCCTGTAATATTTATGCGGAGGTCGGCTAGAGTGGTCTTCTATCTTCATTTAGGGTGCTTTCAGCTGTCTCTAGTGTTGTGGAAATCGCAATAAATGGCACTATTTGTATAGATTTGCACTTTCTCGCCGTTATTTACATATTACATTTCTTTAGGTTATAGCTATAGATTTTTCTACATAAAATTTCTTCGAGTTTAGTTTTTTTTATATAACTAAACATTAAATTATACAGTACATTGAGAAAATATAATTTGATAACCTAAAATCTTTATTTAGAAAGTTTGTTACTTTTTCTAGGGCAATATAATTTTTTATTAATTATTTATTAAATTGTTTACAAAATTTACTTATTGCTTAAAAAGGCATATTTAACAAATAATCTGAGTTTGTCTACTCGCCCTCCTTTAATATGGTCTTATTTTTGCATGTTTAAAAATGCAAATATACATTATATTCACTTATTTAACACATACTTAGAACTCGTATTGAATTTTAATATTTCTATGAACATAAATAATTTTTCTTGTACCAGGTGTTTAAGTTTTAGTATAGCATTGGCATTATAATTGAAAGTTTTATTATCCATGACACTTATTTTTATATATTATCATTAACTCTTTAAAATACCCTACTGCTGGGCCACAGGCATAAAAGCAAAGGTGATCTGTGGGTTAGTAGACACATAGTCATAGCAACATATAATGGTGTCTTAGTACCTCGAACATGTTTCATTCAATACCGTTTCTTTGGAGGTTGTCCATCAGTAGAATATTTTATACATACATATTACTACGTTGTATGTTCGCGATAAGTAATGTACCTACTGTTAATTATTACAAAACAATGTACAAGTTACACTGTGACCATGAACTTACCTAGCTCGTGGTCGTTACGTTTTATTGTAGTGTCCCACTTCCCACCCTCCATAGGTGCAAATTGCTGTAGTCAAGCTAAAAATAAACTTCTTTTAACGGCTCTACGTAATGCAATATACAGGACAATTACAACGGGTTTTAGAAGTCTAAGTATAAATTGCTCTTTGATTAACTGGCTCCCTATCCGAACTCGTCGGAATTCCCATCTTCTTCATCTCCTCTACCGTATCCTTTTCGATCCCAAAACTCCCTCTTATCTAAAAGAGATATTCGTCTCAAAATTGTTCTATTGACAATCGCCTCTTATTTGTTCCTAAGCATAAAACATCTTTCTTTAATAATTCCGCTACTGTTACAGCGATTCGCCTTTGGAACTCTCTTCCCACTGATATCAGAAAAGCTCAATCTCTCCGTTCTTTTAAGAGTTTACTCTATAAGTTTTACCTTTCCAACTCTATGTATTATTTTGCGATGTACCCTTTCCTTTGCTTGTTATTCCCACCTTACACCTACCCACTTAATAAGTCTTTTTCTTTTCTCCTGTACTCCAGGTTGCCTGGAAGAGATCGCTACTTAGCGATAAGGCCGCCTTTTATTTATAAGTTAGTATGTAAGATGTTTTCTCTTTTTGTATATGTAGTATGGGTTATAAATAATAAAGTTATAATAAATAAATAAAATATTTTAATAATAACCTTAACATATTTTGGTCTTTCCCAAGTCTGTTCAATAAGTTTAATTAATATCCTAACTTCAAGTCAATATATCTTGAAAATGTTTTATATGTGAGGAAAAAGTATACTTTTAAAAAACAGCTTTCATCAGTACAATCGCTATAAGACAATAGTTTACCAAACAAAAGGCTCCATAAAAGTAGTAGTTCTTTTCAAATAACTCTACGATACTTTAATAAAATCCCCACGAAGTCAAACACTCTCAATAAATAGGTTTAATCGTATGTAAAACAAAAATTGCTTGAAAGGGTTATTATCATTTAATCAATATTTAAATGATAAAAATGCTTGGGGTGTGGAGAAACCCGCTCTTACAAGGAAAAATATGTTGTGTACTAAAAGTAAATCAAGAATGTAAAATGAAACTTGGCGATAAAAGGAGTGACGGCGAGTTTATTGCCAGTTCTTCTCGTTCGTTCTACGCCCTTGATTTGAGAACTGGTAGTAAATGTAAAGTTGGATTCTATAATTATTTTGTGACGTTCATAAGTGTACATAGTTACCTACATGAATAAATGATTTTTGACTTTGACTTTGACTTTGACTTTGAAAATGCGTAAGATTTGGTGCTTAAGCCTAGCTTGGACATCGAAATCTAGTCCCCTCGAAGACTCGAATACATCAATTATCCTCGTGCTTTTTGGTGTATGGTGGAACAACCTACCATCATAATTCATATCCTGTGTTAAATTAATATGTAGATTAAGTTCTATAAATCCACTTTTTTTTTTTTTTCTAAAAAGTTTTTTTTAATTTTGTGCTTTTTTTTGTAACTTTGTAAGGATAAACGTTTATACATAAAAGCTATCGATATCAATATACTTATATTTTTATAGAATCCTATAATTTCTTACAAACACACAGCCAAGCAAACTTTAGCTATAAAATATTGAACCGTTCCGTTGCACAGCTGAAACTTAGATGATAAAAGTGCCGCATTAAATATTGCTCTAAGCTTCCGCTAGTTAATAGCTCTTTGCTTAACTGAATTATAAATATCCATAAACTGGAAATGATCATGTTTTTATAATAATTATTATGTCAAAGCCACGTTGTTAA